TTCATGTTCAAGACCGGTTTTAAGGTTTTAAACAGTGCCACTCCCAAAATAGATAACTTTCTTTGGGAGGAAAGACTAATTGTGTTTGGGACATTTTAATTTGATGTAACAAGGGATAAAATGATCTAAGCTTATATTTTGCTCAGGGAACAAAAACAGACTTTGGGTTCATGTGTTTTCCTCCCTGGACAAATAGGAAATGGGGGGGGGAGGGGTGACTACGGCTTGGAATGACATAAGAAAGGATTAATTTTCTCTCTCCTTGACACAATGATCTTGCATTTAAAAAACCTTCATTGGACAATGATTCTGCTTCTCTTATAGTGAGTGACTTGTGCTGTGCTTGCTTCTGAATAATCTGCAACTACTCTGCCCTGGGATGTCCATCTCTTCCAACCACATGGACATCCACAATATGAAGATCACAACTCAGGGTTCCCTAACGCAGTGGTCCCCAACCTTGGGCCTCCAGATGTTCTTGGACTTCAATTCCCAGAAATCCTGGACAGCGGAGGTGGTGGTGAAGGCTTCTGGGAGTTTTAGTCCAAGAACATCTGGAGGCCCAAGGTTGGGGGTCACTGCCCTAACGGAAAGTTAACTTAGGTACCATGAAGGCCTTACAACAAACTACTGTTCCTCAGCAAACACCTGTTATGTGTTGTCAAGGCGCCCTCCACTTACGGCAACCTCATGAATGAATGATCTCCGATAGGTCCTGTCCTCAAAAACATTTCTTGCAAACGTATTTCTTGAAATCTCAAGCCTGTGGATTCCTTTAGGAAGTCGATCCATCTTGGATTTGGTTGTCCTCTTTTCTTACTGCCTTCCACCTTTCCCAGCATTATTGTCTGTTCCAGAGAATCCTATCTTCTCATCATGTGCCCAAAAGACGACGGCCTCAGTTTCAACATGTATTTGCCTCCAGAGATAGCTCAGGCTAGATTTGATGTAGGACCCACTTGTTTGTCTTTCTGGCAGTCCGGAGGTATCATGAAAGCTCTCCTATGAATCCATTATTTTCCTGCCAGCTTTCAAACCCATACATGGTAATCAGAAATACTGTACATGAGTGTGGATGATCTTGGCCTTGGTCTCCAGTAACACATCCTTACACTTCATGATCTTTTCTAGTCCCTTTATTGCTGCCTTTCCAAGTCTCAGTCTTCTGATTTCTTGGCTGAAGTCTCCGTTTGGATTGATGATTCAACCAAAGTATGCAAAACCTCTAACTATTTCAGTATCTTCATTGTCAGCATTAAAGTAGTCATGATTTTGCTCATGTACTTCCATCTGTGCTACAGGGGTATTAAGATCCAGTGACCACAAAGGATTGTGGTGAGGTTAATAATGCATGTGAAATGCTTTCTGCATGTGAGGTGGTGGCAGAAGGAGAAGCACTTATAAATATTAAGTAGATCATTATCTCTCACAGCGCAAGATCTTGTGACACTCATTTCAGATGGTGTGGACTTCTTTTTTGGAGTGGTAAAACCAGAAAGTAACATGCTAAGAGAGTGCACCTGGGCATAGGAATTACCAACCTGCTGAGTAAGATCAGGCTTGCCTTCTCCAACTGGTAGTGGCTCTGCTAGCCCTTCAAATCTAAAATCCTTTTAAATGAGGGATGGGAGAAGCATTTGGCCCTCCAGATGTGTTGGACTTTAATCCCTAGAAGCTTTGGCCATCATGGGCAATGGCAAGGGATGATGAGAGCTGTAGTCCAAATCATTTAGAGGAACCAAAGTTTCTCCGCTGGAACTTAATACTGTACTTTCTCCATACAAAGCACCATCTGCTTTGTATGGAGCCTGCGGTGTAGATGTTTGTATTTTTAGTGGGGATTTTTAGTGGGTGGGGAGTGTTTGGGGAATTTTATGTGTGTGCATGTGTCTGGTCTCTGGGTGTCTGTGAATTTCGTTGTATGGGTATACTGTGTATATACTTACAATGACAATAAATTATTATTATTATTATTATTATTATTATTATTATTATTATTATTATTATTATTATTATTATTATTATTATTATTATTATTATCCTGGAGGTTTGGAAGGCGGGACCCTCTGCTTATTCTGTCCCTCGCCCCAAAAGAGTCACTCCAAATTCACAAATTGCAACACACACACACACACACACACACACACACACAAAGTATTATTATTATTATTATTATTATTATTATTATTATTATTATTATTATTATTATTATTATTATTATTATTATCTGCCTCTGAGCTAGGGGTTTATTCTCAGATTGCATGACACAGTTTAAAGCAGTGGATCCCAACCTTGGGTCACTAGATGTTCTTGGACTATAACTTCCAGAAGCCTTCATCACTAGCTGTGCTGGCCAGGATTTTGGGGAGCTGTAGTCCAACAACATCTGGGGACCCACGCATTGGAACCACTGCCTTAAACAGAGACACAAAAGCCTTGTTGTCTAGAGAGCTACTAGTTGGTCTGCCCGGAATGCACACATCCAATCTAATACTTGAACTTGAGGTTATCTAATGACACAGCTACTACCGCATTTGGTCTGTCCGGAACACACACATCCAATCTAATACAGTACTTGAACTTGAGGTTATCTAATGACACATTTACATTTTCAAGACCAAAGAAAGGACTGACTTACAGAAAATGAATAGTTGCATGATGGACTTTAGTAACAAGACATGCACTTTTTGGTCCTCGGCTTTAGGCAGAGCAGGATTAAACAAATTCATTGACTTCTCCAGCCCTCCCGCGAATCAAAGTGAGACAACAGATCTTGCTTGTTGTGGAGCAGCAGCAGCAAGTTGTTATGATTGCTGTTTAATTTGTTATGTTTGAGGAAGGGAGAGAGTGCTGCTTGCTTGAATTTCTGTCTCCAGTGCCAAAAGAACATGATGGGTGCAGAGTGATTTACATCCAAAGCTTGGTAGAGAGCAATCAATTTGCAGCTCTCCGTTAGGTTGCTGGGCATCTTGAAACGGCCTTCTTCATGGAAGACAGCTCTGTCAACAGCAGATAGCTATAGCAGTTATATGTTCCATATGAAAAGAGAGAATGTCACTCAGCGTAGGGTGACGGGTGGTAACCATATGAGAAAGCTACAGTCCATGTTATAGTTTCAGACTCCTAAAATTATAAACTCATTTATCTTTTAATATGATATACAACCCCTTCCCTTCTGGCCTTAAGGAAAAGCATAAAATCTGTAGTTTGAAGAGGGTTTTAGAAGCTTCTTTCCCTCTTGACATCCTTGTGGATCCATGCGTTGGATGTTGATCTTGATTCACAGTTGCCTTATTTTGTTTTTGGGTAGTTGTTGTTATTATTGTTTGGATCTCCTTATTTATGTCTTTGTGGGTTGAGGGTGGGTAGTTCTGTTTTTGCTGTTGTTGCTGCTGCTATTAGCCACACTGGTTACTAGATGGGCAACATAATTGCTGGATATCTCAGTGGTTTAGGGCTCTGGCTGCAGCTGAGAGTTCGATTCTCCCCTGTGCCTCCTTGACAAGGGTTGGACTTGATGATCCATAGGGTCCAGCTCTGCAGTTCTACGATTATTATTACAGAAATGTAATTAATAAGATAAATAAACAATCATGGATTTTTTAAAAATTTACTTAGCCTTCTTTCCCTCCCTGCCCTGTTCTTCCTCATTGCATTTTCTACCTGCCACTTCACACTTTTCCCTCCATTTTCCCTTCCATATCCCATAATTTCCTTTTTTTCTCCCTTGGCCACATTTCTTCCCTCCTGCAGGCTGTTGCGCCATACATTTGTGAGAGTAACTGTGCCACATCTGTGTGGAAATTAATTTATAACACATGGCTTGGACGTGAGCGTTTTCTTCTAAACTCCCCTCATAGCTTTAAAAGGCGCGATATAACATGGTAACGTAGTAATTATGTAATACAATATGACATGCATGGGGAACGCTGCATATTCCCGAACGGGGAAGAAGCCGTTGGCTATTATAGCCGTTTCTTGGCAGGACTGGTCGTGCCATTGAGCCAAGAGACGTGGCACCTCAGGCCAGCCATGTTCCAAGTTTCATTTATGGGCCGCAAATCTTTTGCATTAATAACTGTATTTTTCTTTTAATGCCAGGGATGGGGAGAGGTAAGCTGTACTTCCACCCCGCATGCCAGAACACCTCGGCCAGGACTTGGGCGAGGGGAAACGCGCCTCAGGCTGCTCCGCCTCAGGCTGCAAAACGGGTTGGGTGGCACTTGTCGGTAAAACCCCTGTGCCGCGCTGTGAAGTACGTACGTGCCTGCAGAAGGCATCAGAGCCTGGAAGTGTTATTTTATTGGGCTATAACTTCCAGAATCCAACCCCCCCCCCGCCAGCACGTCAGGGGTTACTGGGAGTTGTAGTCCAAAAAGATGAACTCCAAAGCTCTGAGATGCATGGCATGGTGGGCTCCTGTGCAGTAAATCTTGCCTTCTTTCCTTGGTTCTTTCGGCTGTATTTCTTCAGTTTTAGTCACCCAGCCTCTGGCCCATTTTCTTTATTTCCTTCCCTGATCACTTCTCTCAACCTATATCCCCCCCCCCACACACACGCCTCTTCCGTAGGTTTTTTCTCTCCCCCCTCCTCACTCTATCTGTTTCACCAGCCCTTCCCGCCTCCCTTGCCATCTGGAACTGATTACTTTCTCTGGGAAAGAAACTTTCAGGAAATTCCATCCTAGGGCTGGGTTAGCCATTGGGGGCGGGCGGGCGGAGAAACTACTCCCATTTCCAGCATCCAGTTGCTTTTATACCTCCTTTTCCCCACATTTCTTTCTTTGCATCCTCGCCGTCTATACACACACGCGAGCTGAAGTCGTTTTTCCCCTCCCAACAACCATGTTTCTTAAAAAAGAGTTATGTCTTTGCAACTCTTTCCGCCACATTTGGGTTTGCTGTCTCTTTAAGAAAACGACCGGAGGGGTGGGGCAGAGCGGGGGGGGAGTATTAAAGATGGGCGGGACCTCGGACACACCCCACCCTTTTAACCACTGGTTTGCTAGACTAGGGAGCGGAGTTGGTTAGGGGAGTGAAGTTAGTGGAAGCCGGAGGCGCGCCTGGTTACGCAGCCCCTGCGATGGAAAAGCGGTATGGGCGCCCCGGTGGCAGAATTGCGGTGGGTTGGCATGGGAAGAAGAAGAAACAGGGAGGGAATAATTGGGGGATGTCAGCATTATTGGGTCTTTTGAGCCATGGGCGAGACGGCTGGGGTGGGATCCAAGAGAGAAGCGTTCTGTGTTGTCCAGGACGGTAGTATTGCCTAGTGGTTTAGAAGCGGGAGAGGGTTTTAATGGCTGAAAAAGATTTTTGGAAGGTAGAATTACTGGTTTTTCCGGGAGACGAGTGGCGGTGTTGAACTGGTGTGTGGACACCGGGGGTTCCTCGTGTCTGCGAGAAGAACAGCCTGGGGTCTGTTGAATTGGGTTACACTAGGGTACTATGGACTACTAGTGGGTCCCTCTTAGAAGATCTAACTCTTGGTTCCAGGATTGGTCACCGGGACACCTGGGTTCTTTTGAGAAGGGAGTGTCGTGTAGTGGTGAGGGAAGCCGGGAATCGAGTCTTCTGTAGTTGTGTGAAGGGGGGTCATGAAGTTCTTAAAAGATCACAGGAAGAAGGGGTGGGAGCCATCTGGAATTCCCGGTCTCCTGCTTGGGTTGGAAAAGGAAGTGTGGATTAGAAGTGTCTGTTTCCCAAGGATGACCAACTATGAGCAAGCAAAATGGGTAATTGGAAGCCAAGGGGAGAGGACCTCATTCTGCAAAATGAAATGGGAGGTGACATCCACTTGAAGAAGAAGAAACAAATGTTAGTTTACAGCTTGGGAAATTGCCTTTTTTTGAGATTCAGCTTCTAGCATCCCTGTTGGGAGTTTTAGTTCAAAAACAGATTTTTCCAAACACTGGCCAGACTGGGCTGTATTTTGCTCACGTGCTGTGCATGCATGTGCGCTGGGGTGGCCAAATGCACTCCACAGGCCCCATAGAACCAACTATACTCCTGCAGTAAGGGTTTCCATTTAAAAAAAACAGAATAGAAGGTGCTGCTGTTCTAGGGCTACATAGGGTCTAGGTGGGATTTTCAGCTTTAAGGGAAAAGGCTTGAGAGTAGCCCTAGATGTGACAAAAGTTTGAATTGTGGCGCACAGCAACACTGTACACTCTTGCAAGGGGTTTTGTGCATTAGGAAGGGCCACACTGCTTTTTCAGATGGCGGCGCAACATGGGCCACCACGATTCATGTGCTGATTGTTGTATGCAAGACTGTTGTGTCATGAGCAGCGATTAGCAGAGGAGCAAGGCTTTCTTCATGAACGAGGGAGACATTAAGCTTTGTTCGTGGGGAAAGTAGGCCAAGTTTGCAGTTGCATGTTAACGACCTGGTGTTGCGATTGCATGCAAAGGGGTAGATTCTCTTGTAACGTTTTTTTCAGTGCGCCTGCAGTGTCATTGATCTGCATTTGGCAAGGCCAGTCCACTTCCCGGGGCAAAACCTACCCTGTTTGGGATAGGCCTGTGCTGTTCCTAGAGCATCACGTGGCATGAGGCGTGTTGGAAGCGTGTTCCAGATTTCCAGGGCAATTGGCGGGGGCAGGGTGCCATGGATCCTCAACTTGTTATATAAATCAGAATTCTGTCATTGGTTGCAGGTCTGCTGATTGAACTGTATCATGTGCTCTTTTTTGTCCCTGCTAGTCTAGTTCATTGATTTTTTTTTTGCCTTGTTGGTGCGGCTGTTGTTATTAATTCTGCTGGATTTAAAAATGATTGTCTCATTCTTTAGCTGACTTTTATTCTAGGCATACTTTTATTCCTTAGACGTTTTGTTCTGCTTCCTTCCCAGAGAAATCTGAATTCCTTCTCTTGTGAAGTTTTTGTTTATGAGAATTCTGTTGGATCTGATCGAACTTTCATACTCCACCATCCTGTTTTCAACACATACCTGCAGAAGCTCATAATCTGCTCACCAAGGAAACAGCCACTTGCTGTTAGTTCCCAGAACCTAGTGTTCAGAGATAGAGTGCCTCTGAATGGAGAAGTTCTATTTATCCATTTAACTAACAACCCTGGCCCAGGGCAGCCCCGGAAGAAGGGAATGGCAAACCACTTTTGTGAATTTTCTACTTGGAAAAGCCTAAAAAGGGTAGCCATAAGTAAAAATGGACTTCACAGGACATTATTATTATATCGAGTTATGTGATCTTAGATCTTTGAAATTCAGCTTTTTGACTTTAAAAATCCAGAATCTTCAGGCCAGCATAAGCACTGAGTATGTTGGCTGGAGATTCTGGGCACTATAATATAAAATAAGTCACATCATTCCCATGCTGACATCTCATTAGGACAAGTCAAGAACATACATTTTCTTATCAGGAGAGTTAACACCTGAGTAAGGAAAAAGACCCCTGTTACTCCATCATGTTGTTTTTGTTACCTGCTCTCAAGTCACCTGGTGTTTACTTATAGCAACCCCATGAATCACCAGCATATCCGGTCCTCAACAGCCTGCTCAGCTTTTGCAAACTCAAGTCTGCAGCTTCCTTTAGGGAGTCAACCCATCTTGTATTTTGGTCTTCCTTTTTCCTGCTTCCTTCAGCCTTTCCCAGCATTATTGTCTTTTCTAGAGAATCCTGTCTTCCTATGATGTGATCAGCTCCCTCATTAAGGGTGGGGAAACTGAAGTCTAAAGATAAATTTCAAAGAGGCTAATAAATCTTTGGCTAAAGAGGGAGTTAAAACCAAGGCCAGGTTATTTCCTAATTATGTAACTCCATCAGTAAACATGCCACTTAAAAGAGTTCCACAAACAAAGATCTAGTTCCAAGGAACGTACAATATAGTTGATCATGCTTTTCACTACACCTGACCCACCATACCTCTCTATGGCCCACTCCCAAGTGTGTTTTTTAATGTTGAAATGCAAGAGCTCATCATGATGCTTTGTGCATGGCCATTTATGTACACACACACACAACAGAACAGCACTACATAGCATAATATCTGTTTTCATGAGATCACCATGAATGCAGTCTTATACATGTGTAAACAAGACTGAACTCCACTGGAACTGGTGTTTACTTCTGACTGTATGTACCGTACGTATTTTGCTTTTCCCGTACGGTGAACTTCAACAAAAGGAATCTCTCAGCCTGATGAAATCATGTGTCCTGGGAGCTTTTAACTTGAAATGCAAACAATTTTGCAAATAAGTGTTACATTTTAACTAGTAGAAAGAAGTGGGTTTCCCACCAGAGAACAAAAGAGAGGTGTCCAGCATGTGCTTGATGATTCTTCCCATTCTGTGACTTCATTGATGCTTATCAATCACAGCAAACATTCAAACTTGAAAGTCTCGTTATCACCTCATTTACTTATTAGGCCCTCTTGCTTGAACAGCTCTGTTAAAAAAAGACTAAGAATTGCACATCCTTGTTTAACCCCTTCTGCTTCACCATTGCCTAGTACGTGTTGCTTCTCATTGTAGGATCCAACAAGACCTTTCCTATCTCGCTCATGAGTTTCTTACCATGTCTGGACAAGATGGACTTTATGGTTTGTTTACTAGAACCTGTGCTTGACATTACCATCACTGGACACATTTGCTGTATGAAAGCATTCACTTGTGAGGCAGATTATATGTGATCTTGTGGAAGTGCAAGAATTGTGTGTGTAGGTGGAAGCCTCGGAGCTATACTCTAATTGTCACTTTTCTGCATGCCTACAGTAGCTTGTGGGATGATGCTTTGGGTTCTTCCTGATTCCTAGATTCCCCATTCCTTACATGACATTACAGCCAGAATAAAACTTCTCTTGCCCCAGCAAAGCTAGTTCTTTGAATTACAACTCTTAGAATCTTCAAGCTAGCATGAATGAGGGACTGTAGGAACTATAGACTTTAAAAGTACCTTTTCCAAGTCTTGTCCTTGCACCCTCATATAAAACTTGCACTGTCCCTTATTGTAGCTTGTGTGAATCGGGAATGGCACCTCTACTCCTGTCATGTTGTACAATGAACAGACAACCAAGCTGAATCTCTATTTTGCATATTCTTGATGATGTCTATATACAGAGCTCGTGTGCTTCTTTACATAACATAATGTCCATCTAAGATTTTTTGATAACATATCCCCGAGGATCGATGGACTAGACCTCATTGTTCTTCAGAAGGGTCAAAGGGATTGTAGCTTTGCCCCCACCCTTACCATCTCCAACACTTGGAACCTGCTACACAAAGGGTACTTTGTCCCTTTCCAGTGTTTAAGCCTCTGAACCTCATCATCCTAGCCCAGCGTGGCCTGTGCTAAGAGGTTGTGTGTTTTAGCTCAAATCAATTAGGGTGCACTATCAACTTGCTTCTAACTTACAGTGACTCTTTTAGGATTTTCAAGGTAGAGGAGATGCTCGAGCAGTAGTTTTAACATCGCCAGTATCCCCAATCAATTTCCATAGCTGAGTCGGAATTTGAACCCAGCTCTCCTAAATTCTAGGCCAGCAGCCACCACTACACCACCCTAGACTTATGACCAAGTCTTGGAACTCTCAGTGGAGACTTTTCTGACTGAGGTCTCTACCTCTAGCCCATCACCAGCAGATGGAAACCAATCAATGAATCACATTGCAGTGCATCATTTAACTGACACATCAATGGATGAGTGTGGGGGAATAGTAAGTAAACATTTCAGATAACAGCAAATTGAACAGCTAAGACCCTGATTGCCGAAAAGTCCATGGGTGGAAAATGGCATTGACTTTATTCAATTAGAGCTGGAATTCATGCCTTCTCGGTCCTGTACTCAATCCCAGGATTGTTTGAGAAGGATTTCATTATTCTTAGGTGATAGCTGTAGTTGGGACTTCATTTTTAAAGGCACCCAGACAACATAAATTATTCTATTTAACTTGTAGGTGGGTGGGAAGCACTTTATTGAATGATAATTGCTTACTGTATGTTTTTATTATTATAATTATGTTATGGTTGTTTTTTAACTCTTTTAACTATTGGAATGCGCTCTGGTATAGAGTGCAGTAATAGTAATAGTAATAGTAATAGTACTACTACTACTACTACTACTACTACTATTTCTTTTTAATTTTTTTTTCTTAAACTACAACATAAACATAAAATACATAAACCAAAATACAAATCAACTGTGTTCTCCACCACCATAGTCGGGACCTCTTGCAGTAATCCTCTCCTTCCTCTTATCTTCTTCATTCTTCTTCCTTTATTGTCCTCTTCTCCAGATCTGCATTGATTCTTGATTTGAAGCTTTCCCTTTTCCTCATGTTAGCACATATTCAAGAAATCTGCTCTATATATCATAGAAATTATTCTTTTTTATCTCTCCTTTCTTAACCTTTAAGTTATAAGTTAGCATTTATAGCAATGTTTGATTCCTAGTTCCTAGCTATTATTAATCTGGCTGCTGTTAATAAATTGGTAATAATTTCTCTACTCATCTTATGATATTCCACTTTCTCAAATACTGATAACAGAGCTATCTCAGGATTAAATTCTGTATCTTTTTCACATATGTCATTTAGTTCTTTAAAGATTTGTTTCCAAAATCTTTGTACTTTTTCGCATTCCCACCACATATGAAAGTATGTACCAATTTCCTTTTCACATTTCCAACAGACATTCAGATAACTAGCGTTAATTTTATTCAATTTTGTCAGTGTCAAATGCCATCTTAAACCTAATTTGAAAAAATTCTCTTAATTCTCCCCAACATAAATCGTAAAACCCTCATTTTCCACATCTTCCTCCATTCTTCATCATTTATTCTTTTTCTTAAGTCGTGTTCCCACACTAACTTCAATCCTTCTTTCTCAATCTCTTCTTCTAGATCAAGCAAGAATCTATAAATTTTACTCACTGCACCCTTTATTGAATCGGTCATCTGAATATCTTCAAATGATAATAGAAATTGTTCATATTTTATATATTCTCTACCTTTATTATACTGCTTTACCCATTCATTAGTCCAACTTTCTAATTGCATATAATTCAACCATGATATATTCTTATTTTGATGGATTTGTTTCGTTTGATTTTTTGATCTCATTTTATACAACCAGTCTTTTAATCTAATCACTTTTTTTCTTTAAATAATTCTGCATAAACTTTCATATTGGCAGGAAAATTCTCTATTTCAGTCACTAATCCTAATGGAGAGTTAAACGGACATAACTTCTCTCTATACTTGTACCAGACGTTTAACATCATCTTTAAAAACGGGTTATTAATTTCACTTATTTTATATTTCTTAAGCATACCAAATAGATGATTTTCAATATCCACCTGTAATTCTGATGATTCCATTTTCCACCAAATTAACCTTTCTGGGTTATATATAATTTCCCCAATGAACCTCAACTGATTAGCCAAATAATAATTTTTTATATTTGGTATGCCTATACCTCTTTTTTGTTGTTTTATACCAATACTTTTTATTTATTCTGGCTCAATATTTTAGACAATATTTTAGACTAGATTTTTGCAGCTCCCACAGTCTTGTTTAGAAAACAAACTGAAAGACAGAACAATGAGCCATTCAACCTGAGATCCAGTTTAGATGACCAAAGCATCTTATTGTATAGCCTTTTATTGGGCATTCATATTACTTGGTAGTGTCAACCTCCACTCCTTTAACCTTTCGCTACCCCATTGGCTTAACCTCCTCACTCTGAGTAGTACCCGTAAGATAGACCAATTCCAATTGTCTGTGTTTCTGTTCTGCTTTGCTGCTTGCATTTCTTTCAGTAGCATTCAAAAAAGCCATTCATTCTCTCTTATACTGTATTTACATCCAGAAGTGGTAGGTAGTCTGTTCTCAGAATTTTACCACTATGTTCTGTTGTTTAAATGTATCCAGGTTGCACTACTTAGCATGCAGAAACATAAATCCTCTCTCTACCCATGGGTAAGGCACCCTTTGATTAGGGTTAAGGAAAACGTCAGGATGCTGATGATGGTGGACAAGAAACAGAGGAGGAGAAGGGTTGCTCACCTCTGCCCATATATATATATACATATACATATATTTGTCCACTGCTAAGCCTAAGCTTTGAACCAGACCCTCATAAATAGTGATAAAAAGTGCTGGGCTCTGAGATTTATGCTGGCACTGACAATGGCCTCTTTCACCCTTGCATCCAGTACAGTATAGAGCTATCTGCCAAACTTCAAGGTTGTATGTGGTTAAGCTCATCAGTCTTGCATGCAATAATCCCTTCCCTTCCAACTCATTTATCTCCCTTCGGTCACCCATCTTTCTCCCGATCCTCCTCCTCGTTTTCTGTTTATCCCCATCATGACCCTGATTCTTTGATATTCTTGGGCTCCATGTGTCCCCTATGTATGTCTAGTTTGATCTGAGGCTATGATTGATAAGCTTAGAGAGAAAGAAAAGGTCCTGGAATGAACCATCCTCTGGTCTTAAAACCTTTTGTCCTCATTGTATAAACGCTAGTGAACAAAGTACATTTTTTACATGCTCGGAGGTAAGTATACCTCTATTCTCCATAGGTTCCAGCAAACAAAACTGCTAACTTACATGTAGGGTGTAGATGCCACAGTTTATAGGTGTAGAATTTGTTTTCAGTTCTGACTAGTCTTGTGAGTATGGGGCATAGCAAAGAGGAGAGTGCTTCTGAGCATGTGCAGAATGACTTGCTGACTCAGTTGTAGCTGCCAGGCTGTGGAATGCTTTTGCCTTGGAGGCCAAATTGGTGTTGCCGTTGCCATTATTTCAGTGGGAAGTAAAAAAGCTCACAGTTTGCTCAATTACTGTACTGTATTTGGCAAATAGTGAGGTCATGGCTTGGTTTTGAATCTGATAATGCTGTATATTGTTTTCAATGGTTAAATTGTTGTAAAGTGTTTTTATTTGTTCTGAATTACTTGAATTGCTCTGGATTGATTTTATGTGATTTGACTGATTGTATCTTGCCCCGAGATCTACAGATATAGGGCAGATTAGAAAGTCTGTAAGTAAATAAATTTGATCATTCCTCCCTGATATGTGACATCTTTCTTGCTCAGAGTGAAGAGAGGTCCATGCAAGAATAGAGCTTGCAGATCTGAAGTAACAGTTTCAGTATTGTTCTCTCCCTGATTTTCTGCTTGCAGGAAAAGGTTTGGAAACTGATATGACAGAGCAAGACATCCCTCCCCCCAATTTCTCTTGTCCATATTTTCTTCTCCTGTGTAGATGTAGCTTTTGCACATTGTTATGCTCCAAGAAGATGTAAATGAGGTGCTAGGTGAACTCAAATTTTAATTATGCAAATCAACCAGTGTCTCCTTCCCTCACGATTTGTAAGCAGCCTTTAAAGACCTGGATGTGTTAGCCAACATTTAATTGAGGCTGAACTGTATTCTTTATACATACATGTTATGGTTTCAGCAATTTCTGATATTTTTTATTGTTTCTTGAATGCTACCTCAAACGATGCCATTTTAATTGCTTCTTGTGTGTGCATTTAATGTTCTGTATTTTTATTTGGTGAATTAACTTGGAGTGTTTTCACTTTTAAATGGATGCTTGTGTTATGCAGCTGGCTGGATAATTGGTGATGCTTATTAAAATAGCTTAGTGGTTTAGGTGGCTGGCTGCAGAGCCGAAGACTGGGAGTTCCAATTCCCCACTGTGTCTCCAGGGAGAAGAGCCAGCCTGTGTGACCTTGGGCAAGGTGCATGCACAGTCCTAGGGCAGCCCCAGAAAAAGGGAATGATAAACCGTCCATGCACAATCCTAGGGCAGCCTCAGAAAAAAGGGAATGATAAACCACTTCTGAATATTCCCTACCTGGAAAACCCTGAAAAGGTCATTGATGCTTGGTGATCTTGACTATAATTCATTTTACCTATGGCTGACTACTATTTTCCTCTCCGAAATATCTATATAAAGCTTCCTGATCAGCCTTTCTCTCCCTACCACAACATTGTCAAGTTTGTACGTGCCCTTCTGGGCATGAACCTATTGGCTCCTCCAAATAAGGGCCATTATTATGAGTCTTTGGTTTGCCCCTTCAAAATACTTAATTTGTTATTTTAATAAATACAGAGGTGGACACACTGGTGTTGTGCTGTGTGCTGTGCGCTATGCATGCAAGTCATACAAAGGTACTTGTGTAGCTCTGCCCCTCTGCTAGGATGATGCCTGTGGATAATCTTGTCCATTCCTCCCATCATTTATACAGGATCCTAATACACCCCTCCATGACTCTCCCTCGGCGTTCTTTCTTCCCCTCTACCCTCTGGTTTCCTTCAGCCTCTTTCTCTGCCTCTCTCTACCACCCTTCGCTTCAAATTTCCCTCATCCTCAGACTATGCCACTCCTATTTTAAAGCTACAGGCTTTAATATTTTCTCTTTCCTGCTCTCCACTCTTCACCTCCCATCTCCTATTCTGTGCTATAAGCTTGGTTTCCAAATACATCAACCTACTCCGGAAGTCAAGGAATGCAGTGAACTTTATAAGGCAATGGAAGGTTGTGTGTGTGTGTTCGTTCGCGTTTGTTCAGATTTCCTTTCTCCTTTTCTTGGGATAATATTGGTCTTGGCTTCTGGATCCCAGGCTCGCTGTCACATTTGGGGCTGGTCGTCTTTCTCTTGTTTGTCTTTCAGACCAGCGGTTTCTTGGGTTTTGCTTTAGAGTCTGACATTTACGTTTTTCAATGCAGGTATAAATAAATAACATTCCAGGCTGCCACCCAAGAAGGGGAGGAGTGGAAGCGTGTGACCCAGAGGTGGATGAAGGAGAGGGAGTTGGAGGAAGGGAGCGCGAGAGGCAGACAGATGAAAGAAGAGGAAAAGAGGACCATTTCGAAGGATTTCTGAGAACCGACAGCCTACTTCCTGGACGGAGCTTGCACAAAAGTAGTACCAGGGAGGTTGTATAGTTCTGCCGCTTTGCTTCACTTGGCGCAGCCTCCTGGCAGCAGCAGCGGATCGGGACGACTACAAAAGCAGGAAGCGAGGCGACGGGACGTTCCTGTGAGTCACCTAGAGCCGTGGGGGAAAAGGCAGCTCCGAGCGTGTGCTTTGCAAAGGTAAGCTTTGCCGATTCCGTGGCATCTTTTTGTGGCACGGAGGAGGAGGAGGAGGAGGCAGCTCCTGTTTGGGTGCTGGGGGGGGAGTCATGTCTTTTGGCAAATGACAGATCCCTCTGGATTGTGTTGTCAAGTCAGGAGGGAGAAAAGATTGAGGGAACCCGTGATGACAGGCGTGTTCCAGGAACCCACATTCTCGGGTTCTCTGCAAAAGGATGAGTGAGATTTAGTGGATCTGAAGAGGGGAGACTGGAAATTGAGATTCCTGGGTGATCTAGTAAAGGAATGGGGATATCGCAGTTCAGGATATAGGGTGTCAGGACTTGCTTGGAACACCAAGAGAAGAGAGAGAGAGAGATGTTTTTGCCTGGATTGTGTTGGTGAGGAGTGGGCTTGAACAGAATATGTGGAAGCCAAATGGCTTTTTTTTTTGATGGGCTTCTCCTAGAAAGCTGGGGTCAGGCACCGTGGACGCTGGTGGACGGTTCATTCTCACCTGCCTGATGACAGGAGGAGGTGGGAAAGTAACCACATTTGGCGCAATGAGAAAGGGTGTGTTTGGGGGAGGGGGGAAGGAAGGATGGACGTAAATCAAACAGCAGTCAGCCGAAAACAAGGGAGGGCGTGGGCTGTGGCTAAAGCAAACAGATCTCTGGTTTGAGACAGACGGTTGCCTGGAGTTCATAGCAGACTTTCCATAGCCCATCAAGAAAGTTGGTCACCTGTGGATTTGTCTCCCCCTCCTCTGCTAGTAAGTGCATCAGCACCAGGTCCTAATTCCTCCACCCACTTCCTCCTCACTGTGATCCACCAGCAACTTTCTCCTTGCCAGAGAGCCAACATTTTCAGATACCCACCCCGTTTTCAAGTGCTGTAATCCCATTTGATCTGATCCTCTTCCCTTACGCTCCTCGAAAGCCTGGCTTTCCTTACTCCAGCTTGTGATGGCGCTCATATTTCAACTCTGCCTTGATTTCCCTTCCCTTCCCAAGACCCCAGTTGTCTGGGTCCCCGCTATGCACCTTGTTTTTCTACCCTGTTGGTGGGCAGAGCCAGTGTACCCCACCCATCTCGAGCCTCCTAGCGTTTCCTTTTCACGCCAGCTACATCCCAGCCGTTTCAAAGGAGTTCATTTCAATTTTTTGGGGAAGGAAATTCCGTCACTGTCCTCTGGGACTTGTAACCATATCTGTCATCCGCAGAGAAGGGAAGCATGCAGGGGAAAGGGAATAGATATATTGCCCCATAGGCTGTAGCGTTAAGCCTGCCTGGGCCCCTGCCAACACTATGTCAGACCCCAGTAGTCTTGCTTCTCAGCTGTTCCCCATCTCTTGCAAAGTTCTTGTACACTCAGTGTGCTTTGGCTACACATGGTCTCTTGTGCAGGCCTTTTAGATGTTGTCCTGCTGTCAACAGGGAGTCTTGTGGTATTCTCTTCCAAAGCTCAAAGCAGCTTTCTAGTTTCTAGTCCTCAATCTTTTTCTTTTGTTAGTGATTCAGCTATCCGTATAGAGCTCTGGGGTCATTTCCGTTTTATACCCCTAATGTCAGAGTGTTCCCCCATCAGCTTTTTTTTAAAAGAAAGGCCAATTGTAGCTTTCCAGGTGCCTGTTGGACTGCACCAGTTGACTCAGTCAAGGATGAGGGATAACAACATTTTCAGTCCGCTGACCTACAGAGAGCCAGGCATTGCCCTCTCTCATTTTAATGCATTGACGTCTATCCCCTTCTGGATTTCTACATCTACCCAACCCCAGAGTGTAGGAAATGCTGCCTTTTTTTGTACTATAGCTTCCAGAATCTGATAGTCAGCATGGCTGGCGCCTGTCCCAAGACTTTGCTGTTATTTCTTTTCCACATATTTCTGTACTCGAGATCAAAAGAACGTGAACACATATCTAAACAAGGTTATATTGACCATATTGTCCTCCCCTTTCTAATCTCTCGTACATACCGTACAATCTGTACTTCTTATATTTTCACTGTCTTCTACAGTCCAGTAGGACAGTGCACAGTTTTACTAAACTGGGGTTGCTTTTAATCCCTTTAGTCATGCTTTGACTCTGTTTTATCAATTACGTATCTTCTTTTTTAAAGGGCCCTATAAATGTGATACTTTAAAAAGGCTAGTGCTTGTTTGGAATGGGGCTCTTTTGTGTGGTTAGCAAAGGGCATTTCATAGAAAGCGCATGATGCAGCAGAATACCCAGTGTGATGCAGTGGATGGAGTGATGACTAGGACTTGGGAGGCCTGGGTTCGAATCCCTGCTCAGCCATAGGAAATCACTGGGGGCAAGGAACTGGTAAAATCACTCCTTAAATATCTCACTTACCTTGAAATCCTATCAGAGTTACTATAAATCAATAACAACAGCAATATGATGCATCAGCCTTACAGCTACTGCTACCTTAAGAACACAAGCAGTGAATTTAGGCCTCTGCCCCAAGAGATTTACAGTTTAAAATCACTCATTCCTAAACTGAGGGATATGAAGATAGGCTGAAGTTCAGTCAGGAGATGAAGATTTTTATAATGAAAAAGATTTGTATCATCTTAGATGATCTTCTGTTTTCAAAGTTGTTTTATTTCTGCCATGTCTTAAGAAAAACGACACTTTTATTAACTTTTTGTGACAAGAAAAACTATTTGCTTAATTTAGTTTAAAACAAAAATAAGTACGTTTTTATTTTTAATTTAACATTGAAAATTGATTTAAAATTTTTTGGGGGGGACTCAAGGATGAGAGTGTTTGAGAATAAAAAATGATGCTTAGTATTGAAAAGTTTGGAAATCACATTTGCCTCATGGTAGTTAGAAGTGTATGACAAAGTTTGATGACATCTAAAGGAAGCTGTATGGTCATCACACAATACACATGTAGAAGAATGTCACACCTTTATTAGACCACTAAAAACAAACAATTAATTTTGTCTGGAACATTCATTCATAATTTTTCTGCACAAATCACAAGTGACCAGAGCCTGCCTGAAGAAGTAGATTTTTATTCCACAAAACCTTGCATTCATTCTTTGATTTTTAGTGGTATAATAGTGGTCACAGTCCTTCTACATTTGTAAAGGCAAGTGATTAAGCAGAAAGAATGAATGGATGAATGTAGTGATCAGGATAATACAGCTGTTGCCCCCTCTAGAGAATGAGGCCATTCGATCTAATCAAATTTGCTCTGCCATTTGATTCACCAACCACTGTCACAACTGTCTTTGACTTGAATGCTGCTTTTGTGTTAGATGGTCTGTCTAAAGAAGTGTTTTCCAGCCACCCCCCAAAAATAATCTGATGGTTTTCAGAAGTACTTAGCAAAAAACAAAACAAACTCAACAATTTGTATAAGAAGACAGGGGCAGCAGATTCCGACTGGCTTAGTTCCAGAATGCCCCACCAGTTAGAGAGTATAATGACAGAATTCTGGTGAAGTAGAGAGGCAAACCTCAAAAACCATTTCCTTCTGAAACTAAAAGAACAGTTAAGGGCTGCCTTTTAACATTCCTTAAAAAAAAATTATGATCTTTTGGAATATAAATCTTTATTTGCTGTATACTTGGCGGTGGAGTCGGAGGTTGGGAGTTTGATTCTCCACTGAAACCTCCCTGACATAGGGTCCCTTCTGGCTGTTCAATTCTAAGACAAAGATCCTCATTTCGCTGCGAAGAATGGCGTTCTTTTAATCTTTTAAAGTCCGTAAATTGGGAGGAGGAAGAGCGAGGAGAGTTCTTGATTTCCAGATCCCGAGGATGGCTTTGGCATCTGGAGGATTAACAGCCAAGATTGATAACCACAGCTTCCGGTTTTCCTGAGAAAAGGGAGTATTTGTTTGGTGGCATAGAAGGAATAGGTGCTGGGAGTCGGGAGTCCTTGGGTTCTTTCCCTGCTGCCTGACATGCTGGGGCGCTCCTCCTCTCGGTACCTGGGCTGTGCTGACTTGCCTGGGTCCCTTTTTTCCACCTCCATCAGCACTTTCTGATCTGGGAAGGCAGCCTGATGCCTTCCAAGTAAGTAGACTCCGCTCCCCTCCCCTGCCCTGTGCCTGCCCAGACTCTCCCTCCTACCCTGATGCAGCTCCTTTCCTCCCATTAAAACATGAATCATCTCTGGTTGTTAGATCATTGCACCTTGAGCAAGAGAGAGAGTTCTCCGAAGTCGACCAATATACAGGGAGCGGTAGCAAGAACCCCGTCTCGGCCCCCTCGGTGGTGCAATTAGGGTAGCGTTCTTTCTTTATTAGCAAAGGATCCCTCTCAGCCAAGTGAGGAGGGATGGGGTCTGGACACAAGCACAGGTGGCTGTTGAAGTAGTCAAAGTAATATACGTTGCACGTTGCCTTCCAAGGAGTGCTCTCCTTCAAGTAAAGCAGGGGCAGGGGAAGGAAAGGAATCTATGCTTCCCAGAAAGGAAGGAGGAGGGAAGAGGAAAGGAGAAGGGAAGAAGGAAGGAAGAAGAAAGGAGAAGGGAAGAAGGAAGAAAGGAGAAGGGAAGAAGGAAGGAAGGAGAAGGAAGGAGAAGGGAAGAGGAAGGAAGGAAGGAGAAGGGAAGGAAGGAAGGGGGAAGGAAAAGGAAGGAAGGAGAATGGAAGGAGAAGGGAAGAAGGAAGGAGGAGGGAAGAGGAAGGAAGGAAGGAAGGAGGAAAGAAGAGGAAAGAAGGAAGGAAGGAGAAGGAAAGGAGAAGAAGGAAGGAAGGAAGGGGGAGGGAAGAGGAAGGAAGGAGAACGGAAGGAGGAGGGAAGAGGGAAGGAGGAGAGAAGAGGAAGGAGGTGAGGAGAAGGGAGGGAGGAAGGAAGGAAGGAAGGAAGGTGTAATCTTATCTCCCACATGCCCACTCCTATAACTTCTTGCTGACCATCCTGAACTTTTTGGAGGAACAGTGGGATAAGTCAGCTTGATCAAGATGAAAGTCAGCTTCAAAAATAACTTGATATTATTTCCAGAGTGCATAACAGCAAAGGTATTAAGGCTGACAGATTCATTATTACATAAGGGTTTATAGACCGAAGTTTATTTCCGGAGATCCATAAAGTGTTATCCTAAGTTGAAAGCACACTTACACTCATGTATGATTGGAAGGGAGGAACCTGTAAGCTATAAGGTCAAAATTAAAAGAATATGGATGATAGCAGGTGTATTAAAGCCACCAGTGGTCATGCAAACATCTTGTCATTAACATATTAATTAACAGGTGCCGTTTGAAGTGATGGACCTGACCATCTTAGTAGACAATAATTCATGAAGTGCCTGGTGCATGTTTTCCCTTGTTTCCAGTTTCCAAACAGCATTTTCACAATGGCCCTATAAAATATATCCTTGTTTCCACTGTGTAAGATAGGAATCAAGCCATTGTAGTAAATTGTCTGAGGTTAAATGACAAATCGGTGGCAGGGGTTGTGACTCAAGGCCCGGTCGAGCTGTCCAGTTGGCAGACCACGATGACCGGAATGGAAGTATTCTCTGCCATTCTGCTTCTTGGTTTGACTCTTGCTCTCTCTCTCTCTCTCTTTCTCTACAGACCACGATGACCGGAATGGAAGTGTTCTCTGCCTTTCTGCTTCTTGGTTTCACTCTTGCTCTCTCTCTCTCTTTCTCTTCTTCTGCAGATGCCTATCCTCAAACAGTCTCCTGTTTCCCACTCCAAGAAGCGCCCCCGTTTGGATCGGGCCATGATCAGTGCCCCCTTGGGTGACTTCCGGCACACGATGCACATCGGCCGTGGTGGAGATGCTTTTGGCGACACGTCTTTCCTTAGCAGCCATGGCGGAGCCAAGGCCAACGGGCTTCCCCCTGAAGTGGCCATGTCTCCTGGGACACTCTCTAATCCTGGAGAGGTCAGTGGTCACTTTGGACTGCTGGCTTCCCCTGGTAATGGCAATGGTGTCACTCAGAGCCCAGCAACGTCGACCCCTGATGGCAGCTTTGTGGTATTGCAGCACCCAGAGATGGCAGAGTGGCAGCCTCAGAAGTCCCCTAACGGAGAAGACTGGAGTCTACAGCAGAAGTTCTCCTTGGAGAGCCCCGCTTTGGAACATGCTGAATCCCTTCTCTCTTTCCAGTTGGACTTGGGGCCTTCCATCTTGGAGGATGTGCTGGGAGTGATGGACAAAGACTGGGACAGTCTCCAAGGAGAAGAAGAGGAAAGGCTGAGAGTTGAAAGCTCAAGCCCAGTGGAGCAAATCCACCAAGAAGCAGGAAGAGGAGGAGGAGGAGGAGAGGAAGAAGAGGAGGACGACGACGATGAGGAGGAGGACGAAGGGCAGGGCTACAGTTTCGAGGATGAACAGGATGAAGAGATTGGGCTATAGGAGGGAAGAGTGGTGCTGGTTTCTTCTCAAACCATTCTTTGGTTTCTCTTCTTCCTTCTCCAGTGTCCCTCCGTGTCCTCTTCTACAGAATGTCTGTCTGTCCAAGAGCAGTTAGCCGCTGGCAACCCATAGGCCAAACCTGACCTGTAATAACTGCAGGTTGACCCCCCACTGCTTGTCTGTGCCCTACCAAGCAGCCTTTTACCTTAAAATCTCTCATAGTTGAATCCAAGAGGAAAATAGGCAGAGGCAGGCAGATTGCACCTCCAGTGTAAATGTTGCTGTCTTCCTTTCCATGTGCGGAAAAGCAATGTGTCAGACTCTGGGGTTTTCCCCAAGAGAACGGTGGTCTGTCCTAGACTGGCAACGAGAGGATTGTTTATCTAGAGGACAAGTCATAGGATGCATTATGGAATGCTACCTTTGAAAAACTGAATTGCAGTGTTTGCCCTCAACAGTGCACCTCTCCTCCCCGCTCAATTTCTTATATTCCTTTCAAGACCTGGGATTGTGCAAATCCTTCAATGTATTGAAAAATGGATCTTGATTTCAAGCTCATTCATCCATCTGGAATCAGTAAAGTGAAATGTCACTGATGCTATGGAAAACTTCCTCTCTTTCCATTTCACCTTCCACACTTCTGTTGTTTCTTTTTCACTTACTTTGTTCTTTATTCAGTTGATATATTTTCCTCTCTAAACTTGGAGATGCCTTTCTTTCTTTTTGTTTCTTCTTTGCTAAAGGAGTGGAAGAACACATGGGCTGGTATTTCTCCGTCAGGATACCAAGTGTTAGTTAAATGTGGATGGAGAAAAATGGATTTAAGATGGACAGAGAAGAATGAATATGTAGATATTTTTATTTATCTGTCAATCTATCTATTTACCTCCCCAATCTTCATTTCCCTTTCCTACCCATCTTAATTGTATTGTAATATTCAACAATGTCTAACCATCTTTTTTTTCACCTGCTGATAGTCTCTTCTCAGTTGTTACCCTTCTGTCTGTCCGCATATCAATTCATTGATCATTTCTGTTTCTCTTCAGTTGTTGCATCAATGTTATCTGTATACCCAATGGCAGGACTGCAAGGCCTCTGTAGCTGGAGGAAGACACTGACATTTTTCAGATAGGAAGGAAATATTTGAGGCCAAAAGGAGGATAAGAGCATCCAGGCGTACCACCTTAAGGAGCCAGTCAAGAAAGAGAAGATGGTCAGGATTACCATCTTAAAAGACGAATGTTTAGAGACATAATGTGAATTGACTGTTGAACAGAATTTAAATCGCTATTTAGCTGGATCCATATGATTGTAACAATTATCTGTAGGTGACAGTATATATTGGCAAAGGTATATGTGGGCAAGTTGATTGGAATCCCAACCCATTTGACATTTGTGTGGGGTGGGACCGATTTATATTTTTAAAGAACAAAACTGGGAATCTTAGGTAAAGAAAACATGCATTTTTGATCTTTTTAATTTGAGCTTGTGTTGAATCTATGGAGATAGAACGGGGTCGCATTAACAGACTGCATCTCCATCATACAAGAACTGGACAGCCTTCTAAATAAGGCACTTCAAAGGAGAATACAATGTAGCAGATCAGATATGGTGATAACTGAAGGAGAATTTACTGGCTGACAGAATTTTTTCCCTGCCTCAAACCTTGTGATTCCAGAACCCCATCCATCAACTTAACAATCTGTCCTTTTGCCCCTGAGTTATTTTCTCTGCACTTTGTTTGAAATGACACTCCTCCCCAGGCGTCCTGGACACTCCCTAAGCCGATTTGCATGGACACAGTTGGCAGAAATTTATTTTATCAGGAGGTCAGTGGTAGGGAGTTGGGAATTAATCTGTCTCTTCACCAAATCATCAGCGTGTCTCCCATCACCTCTCTTACTGCTCCTCTTGGTGTTGCTGCCACCGGTTCCTTAGGTGTAAATGGGTTGATCTACCACACTCCTAAAATACTGTAGTCTGTAACTACTTTGTAGCCCAGATCCCTCATTTTGGCAATATGACTTAAAAGTTGGGGGGGGGATGTTTTTAATTTCTTAGGTATCTGCTTATGAATGAGGTTCTTGGCCAAGTGACTCATTGTTTGTTTGTTTTTACTTGTATTGTGTATACTTACTCCAGCTACATGAATCAAAATGGGAAAGGTATACTTGTAAGTCAGGCAGCCTTACAGGAAAAGTGCTCTCCCACGGCCAGTGCAGAAACAAGGTTCATCAGGGAGCCCAGCCAGCTCCTTTTTCTGGAAAAAGGTAGTAAGTGCTGCCTGGGCCTTTGGTTGAGGCAAGAAGGGGAAAGGTTGCATTTTCAGAATTGCTGAATATTAGCTGAATATATTCCCTGTGCAGTGGGAAGACTTGCTGCATAACATTAGTTTTTATGTATAGTATCGGCTGGTGTGGAAGTGGGCTAAGAGTGGGCTGGGACCTTTTAAGAGAGACTTGGTGTGTAACGTATTTTGCTAGGGAGGAGGATGAGCTTAAGGGAATGGACGTCCTCCTTACCTCCAAAGGAGAGGGAGCTTAGCATGTAAGTCAAGTTAGAGGCATTTCGTTGAGATGTCAAGGAAGGACGTGGAGTAGAATCATTGGATCCACCAGCCGCACATCTTTTAGCGAAATCTCTCTCCCCACCCTCACTCCTAAAACTGGTAGCTAAGGACATTTTCATTAAAGTAAGGATAGCAGGATGCATTTGTCCTGTCCTGTAATTTCAGTGCTGCTTCAGAAAATAGTCATGATTTACAACCAGATGTGGGCCAGCTAGTGGCACAGCCACCATCCATAGCTGAAGATTGCTTTAGGACATTGGCCTTCATTCAGCGAGTGTGCAGTGGCACCAGAAGAAGTAGTAGAGAGAAGGGGAGACAAAGTTTATCTGCTAGGTGTGGGGTTTTTCCAATTTCTTGGACTACAAATTCCATAATTCTCCTTTCTGGGAGATCTGCCTTATGTGGGTCACCTAGGAGAAAAGCCTCTACTGGAAGGCTCTGAGCTAGGCCTGACTCGACTCAGCTTCTTGTTTAGAAAGAAAGTTCCCAGCAAGCACTGGGGCAAGGACCAGAAGCTTGGCCAAAGCTAAGCCTCAAAAGTCTTCCCGTGAAGGCCTGTCTCCTAGATGAACCCCATTTAGGTATCTGTCAGGTGTAACTCCCAGAATGGAGAATTATGGGATTTGTAGTCCAAGAAATGTTTAAAAATCCTGCCCCTAATGTATACTTTGAACCCATTTGGCAACTATTTATCAATGCCGATAGGCCTTCACTCTTGTGAATCATGGTTTAGGGGTTAAGTGCTGATAACCATTCTTTCCTTTCTATATTGCAATTAACTGGGTATCCTGAGAGGAAGAAATAATTGTTCAAGCAATGTGTGTAATGTCAAGAAGCCACAACAGGAGTAGGAATATCCTCAAAATGGCATCTGCCATAGGTTGGGGCTAAAGGTTGGCACTGCATCTGGGAAGAGTCAGGATAATGGCTGTTGGATGATGAGTGAGAATCTTCAAAATGGAGAGCTGTGGGTACTGTGGTCAAGTGGTTTTTATTTTTTTTAAAGTTTTTTCTCACTATGTATCCTAAGTTATTTTATAACCTCAAATTGTCCTTCCCTCTCCCTGTGGAAGCTGTTTATCTCTGGTTTCAAAAGGAGAAAGCTGGAAAAAAAATGAATTCCTGCAGTGACCATGTTTGCCTCTTGATATTTTTTAAAGCTGTTCTAAGGAGGCATCGCTGGGATCCAGTGCAGTAGAGATCAGGGCCGGATTCTGATCTCCATTTCTTTAGAGGAAGGACAAAACCTCCCACAGTCATCTCATTTATTCATCCACACTTGTGATTTAAGTCTGAAGCCTATTCCTTAGATCTCTTGCTACCTGTGATCAGTGCTGCTGCACAGTGGGTCTATATGTACATTTATTATTTTGTAATAGCTCATTTTATGGTTTTCTGTGTAAGAAAATGTCTATATAACCCCCCTTCTCTACATTATGTTAATTTTATCCTACTAGAAAAAATATTTGTACAGTGACCAAAAAGTGTTTGATATTTCTTGTAATTAAAAGACAATTAGTTTTGGATGCTTTTCTTAGTCTTTTCTTCCCCTCCTTGTTCCTTCTTCCTCATCCATGTTTCTTTATAACACTTGATTGTGGCTGAAGGCAAGGGTAGGAGACACCTTTGTTAGACCGCTGAAGAATCACAAGCAGGGGCTGTGAATAGTGCAGAAAAACACAGGAAAGCCACAAAGATCATGGCTGGAAGCTCATGCCATGCCTCTTTGTTAATGATGACTTTCCAAGTGGCAGCTATACAAACTCAAGCCAGGAGTATAGTTTTCAATTTACACCCCCGTGGGGTTGATTGTCATGCTGAATAACTTCTAGCTCATTGTCTAGCACGTATCAGATCCAGTTTTTAAAGCTTTCCCTTCACTCTCCACAGCCTGGTGGTGTGCAGCCTGATGAAGACTGGATGGACTGAAAGCTAGCTTCTGTTCGTGATTTTTGTAGTAATCTAATGAAGGTGTCACTATTTCCTTCAGATTGTGTACAGGGACCATACAGCTTTCCTCCTTTTTATTGTGAATAACTATTGTACTGAATTGCCTTACTGAACATGTTCCAGTGTTCATGGAGATTGTGCATGTTGCTCTACCTAGCACATGGACGAGCTTAATCACTGTGGATTACACTGTGGGAGTATCCAGATGATAGTCAATCTAATTAGGTGCATGCTTTGAGTTTAGTCGGTCAAAACATGAAAGGGTGTGGTTGCATCATGTATGCACCTTTAGCTGTGGTGTTTTACCATTAGAAAAATTAATGGTTTCAGTTCCTGAAATTAAAGAGCCCTTTCACTTATTGAACATACTGCTGAAGAGCTAAAATCCTGTAGTAATTTGCACTGAATCTCTGGGGATTTGGTGAGTTTACTCCTCCATAAGTTCCACTGATCCAATGAACCTGCTCTAGTTTACAGTGCTGAAGTAAATTGCAATTAGGAGAAGCTCATTTGAATCACCTCTATAGAGGCTCTGACTCACCAAATCCCCACTAATTCAATGAGTCTGTTCTAGTTCAACTTACCAAGCTAAGTAACAGGATTTCAGCCACTGTCCCATGCTGCTGAGCAGGAATGTTGGCAAATCTTTGGGTCTGAGTCTCAAGTTTGAGTCTGCATCTTAGTACCAGGTCTTGAGTCCCAAGCTCCAAATCAGAGTCCCTATCAAAAACAAGCTTTTTCCCCCCAGAAAAAAAGGAGGGGATGAATGGGTTCGGAGTGAAGAGTCAAGTCTGAGTCATTGGGAAAAAAATCCCCAGTTGAGTCACTGATAATGACTTAAGTCTGATTTGACAGTGAGTCCTATGAATTGTTATTGACACCACTGTTAAAGAGCAGTGTATTGTATGGATCTGCTGCTGGGTTCAGAGGTGGCTGGAGGGGGAAGGCTGATTGTGCACCCCCCCCCCAATTAGCTAAGGTTGCCAGGTCTCCAGGAACTAGCTGAAATTTCAGGGAATTGCTACGGTCTCCAACCAGGGAGACAAAATATTGAGGTGAATAGTACTGAGAGAGAAGAACATTTGGTCTTCCTGTGCTGGGTGGCTTCAATGTCCGGGCGTCCATCTCCTTTCTTCTCTGAAATGGCAGCTGAGCTCAGCAGGAAGGTGCCTGTATCTATGTTGTGCACATCATTATTTCTTTCAAGGCTATGGTATTATTTATGGGATATATGCACAACATATTTATATAAGGAGAATGATCTGTCTCATTCACTCATACACATGCTATTTTGCCGTCATTACATAAGGGCCTGTTTGCTCATGGTCTCCCGATTTTTCGACCCTGAAATTTCGGGAATTGAGAAGCTGAGGCGTCGGCAACCCCAGATTTACTCTAATGATTTCCACCCAGTTCCTCTTCCCTGTGGGAGAGGGAATGTTGAGCCGCAGGAGGGCAAAGTAGAACAGATTGGAACACGAAAGCAGGCTTTGATTTTGGCCCAGAAAAAAAATGAGCTGAGGCCACGTTTCAGTGTTTGCCACAGGAGATGGGAAGCCAGAGGCTTGACTTCTCAGCTACAGGGATTGGGTCAAAGAGAAAACATTGGTTGATCACCCTCCCTACCCCCACAATTGACTCCAGCTGTAATGTCTCTCTGTATGTGTGTGTCTCTGGAGCCTTATCTGGTGCCTCTGTTTGCCGGTCAATCCCAGCTGTGAATTTCCTGCCAGAGGATAAACAGATCAGGGGCCCTCTCTGACACAGTCCAGGCCTGACAGGATGAAGGAAACCATTGCAGAGGCAACTTGTGAAGCACACCAGCTGGGCGAGTTCTTGCCCACCCACTTTCCCTTATTGTCAAAATTGTTGTGAAGTCTCCAGCCCTGGATTCAAACTACCCTGGAGAGTGTGTATCTCTCTGTATCTGTTACAGGCCACAGAACAATTCTCATTTAGAGATACTGCACACATTTTTTCATAACAAATTCCTTCAGAATGGAGTCGTTTTTACTCTGCAGGCGGTGATGCTGTGGCCTTCTGACTGTCCGAGACGTTCATCCCGTAGTCTCCTCTTTCCCCTACCTCTTCAGCTTTATTCAAAGGGCTCAAGAGCGCAACACTTTGGTAAGAGCTGGCTGAAGTTTTAAGGATCGTTGTTAAGTATTTGTGGTTCAGGTTCATGCGGCCAAATGGAGTGTTAGACCTGCCATTTGCTGCTTTAACTCATGTGCCTGCTTACATACCCTATCTCAGTCGTTCTCAACAGTTTGATCCTCCAGCTGTAAAACCCATAGAATAGCAGAACTGGTATGGACCCCAAGGGTCTATGCCCAGCCCTCTGCTGAAGCAGGAAATCCACGGACAACGTATCCCTGAGATTTGTCTGTCTGAAACCAAGGAAAGGGAGTTCATCACCTTCCAAGATAGAGTAGTCTGTTCTACTGTTGAACAGCTTTTACTGTCAAGAAGTTCTTCCCAATCTCTCTTCTCATAATTTAGATCCATTACTTTGGATCTTACCCTTTGGAGTGATAGAAAAAAAATTACTCTATCTTCCTTATGGCCACCCTTCATATATTTGAAGATGGATACCATATTACCTCTGTCTTTTCCAGGCTAAAGATACCCATCTCCCTCAACCATTCTCCATAGGATTTGATTTCCAGACCTTTTACCATACTGGTTGCTCTCCCTATTTTGAACTTAAAGTTCCATAAACCATGGCCTGGATGGGAGAATGATCCTGGAAGCTAATGTTCAAAACATCAGGAAGACTAGAGGTTGAGCAACATTGATCTTGTGAACCTTGTCTGTTCAATTCAGCCACCATGTACTGTGAATAAACTTTTTTTCTCTTTGATAGTCCAACAGCTGCTTTTCTCTCAGTCTGAAGAGGCAAGGAGGTGGTGGGTGGTCTGTGGTCTTTGTGTAAGGTGTGTAGGTTCATATAGTTATATCCTGTATGTAACAGTGACAGTTCTTGAATATACAACATCAGCAGCTCATAACAATGGACGGAATGGATTCTTTAGAACCCAGAAGAATGAAGGAAGATTAAAAGCTACTTATAGAGAGAGAAGACTCTTCACAGCAGAGGGGCCACCTGAACAAGAGAACAGAGGTCCTCTACCCTTAATGGTTATGGGGCATAGGTTTATAACTAGGGCAGGACAACTATGGTTTTGCCCCACAGCACCAAGATGTAGAGGTCACAAACATTAGAAGTGAATCCACTGGCAAATGCTGGGAAAATAAACAGCAGTGCCTCTCAGCCTTAATCACTTTCCTTCTTTCCTTTCCCTTGTGTGTTTGTGGGGGACCCCACACCCCACACCTTTTCTTCTTGGTGAAGAGTAGTCTCATGCCTCAGACATTACTGCTTGCCTCAGGTGCCAGTATTGCTAGTTAAGTCTCTGGTGAAGAAGATGTAGCATTCATGGTTTGTTTCCTCCATGGAACTTGCCTTTTTCTCTTTTTCAGGTGCTCACTCTACTTCACACCTTCATGCTCTGCATTTGTTAATCAAAAATAAGGGGCAACTCAAATTTGCCACCTTGCAGCACTAACGCTGATTAAAAGGAATGTCCTCTTCAGCAACAAATAGGCCCTGTGAGAATGAAGGGCAGAATAAGTTGGCTTGAAATACCTAGGGAGTAGATTCAGTGGCAGCCAATAACCTTTCTGGTTGGTGGGGTGGAACGCGTAGTAGTTGATTGTCTGTGGAGCAGATATTCACACACGCAGAGGTAAATTCATGTAGGCATAGGTAAGTGCAAGTGTACACACAGCCCCTCTCCCCCATCCACTGCCACAACTCAGATGAGGAGTGGGAAGAAACATCCTGCCCCCAAAATGAGCACTGTTTCACCCACATGCACCCTAATTTCTGAACTGAGTCATTAGCTCCTGCCAACCTAGCTGTTTGAAAGCATGCAAATGCAAGTAGATAAATAGGCACCACCATGGTGGGAAGGTAACGGCGTTCCATGTCTAGTCGTGTTGGTCATGTGACCATGGAAACTGTCTACGGACAAACACTAGCTCTATAGCTTGGAAACTGGGATGAGCACCGCGCCTTAGAGTTGGACACGACTGGACTAAATGTCAAGGGGAACTTTTACCTTGATCTGTTCATTTTCTTCCTTTCTCCAAAACGCATATATGGCGGACCGTATGAGTTTCTCCATGAGGGAGTCTTAAGTTTCTTCCTCAGCAAGGAAGCATGCAGGTTTGGCTCAGCCTAAGCCCCCCTTCCCAATCGGCAGAAGACAAAATAAAGGTATGATGTAGGAAAGGCAATATGGCAGTGCTGTTTACCAAACACCAAGCTTCAAATCCACCTGTTCTGCGGCCTAGAATTGCCTCCACAGAGTCTCGGGTGATGTCCGCTTGTCTAAGAAGGACTTGTGTGGGTCTTGTTGCTTCTGCCTCCACCAGGCAACACCAGTCAGCTTTTCCTGCATTGTGGGAAGGCAAAGCTGACTTACGCCAGAAGACTTCAGGTGCCCGACAAAAGGGACAGAATATTTTGGGAGATCCAGGCTGATCAAAAAATCTTTCAAGGAGGAACATTGGCCACACTCCTGCCTTACTTCTTGGTTCAAGAGGTTCTGATGGCAATTTTGTCATTCACGCCCTAATCATGGGCCCTTTCTCCCCACACTGTACGAGTATCTGAAAATATTTTATTGTATGAGGCAACGAGAGATGAGCTTAGCAAAATCGCAAAGAAGGAACTGTATCTCCCATCTTCCGTTTGTCTGGTATACGCCAAGACACAAGGTGTGGATCAGAATTAATTTTGAGGGAGGGCCTAGAAGTAGCTGCCTCTGGTGGACCAAGGAGGGCAGATCTGGCAAGCGTGGCATGTGCCCATCTTCCTGGCATTTATCTGCGATTCTGCTTCACTTCACCAGGTTGTTTAAAGGTGTTGGTTGGTTTCCTTAAAACAAACAAACAGGAGGTGTCAGGGCTGAAACCGGTTTGGGAACTGTACTGTTTGTGTTCAGACTTTTCTCCTTAACACCTAAAGTGTGGGAATTGGCCGTGGATTACTCATAATGAAGACATGGCACTCTACCCATGCCTGGGGGCAACTTCCTTAACAAAAAAAATGAAGTCCACCTTGGTGACAATGGTAAGTCCTAGCACACAATAAACTCCATTAAAAGTATATGCATATTCAGATTGGAGAGGGCAGGCTTATGAGATTTACTTGTTTCTTTTATTAGAATCACAAGGTCCCACTAAAGCCAGGTATAAAACAGTAGCAAAGGGTGGGAGGGCAGCCATGATTTGAGAATTAAGCACAGCCTGCCTACAAGCTCCTGCTTGACTCTGGACATTGTTTTTAGACTCATTTTTTTCCCAACAAAGATTTACGCTTAGTGTTCTCTTCCCTAACCCACCCACCCCAGTAATTAGGGTCTTTGAAACAGCATTTTTCACTTAGCTTGAACCATGACAGCTGATCATTAGAGCAAATGGGGGCACTGTACTGTTTCAGCCTCCATCTAGCCATTTGCCCAGCCCTCTTTGGCAGAGGGCCTCTGCCCGTGGGGTGTGCGTATGTCTGTCCAAATGAGAACGAACGCTTGCCTGCCCGCCCTCTTTGCCACGAGCTCTGCTGACCCCTGGGCACTCTGCCGTCTGTCCCACCAACCGCAAAGGGCCTCAGCTGCCCCTGTGCCCTCATTAAAAGGACTAGAGGCAATGCTGCTATCTGGGCTCCATGTAAATACACCAGCGATCAGCACTAGATTGCAGGCTTCTTTCTGTTCACCCGTTAGAGCTTAGAACTATGTTGTTGGAAGGGGCCCTACAGAGATCATTGAGTCCACCCCGGTCAAGGAGACACACCGGAAATCCCAACCTCCAGCTCTGCAGCCAGATATGCAATCCTGTGAGCTATCCAGCAGCTCTCTCTCTTTTATTGTAAATGCATACAGTTGGGCAATCCTGTGAGCTATCCAGCAGCGCTCTCTTTTATTGTAAATGCATACAGTTGGTGGACTAGAGGGGCACCAAGTCTGTCCTCTGCTGACACTGTAATAATACGTCTCTTGAACACAGGAATACGCTTTCTAAGGGACAAATATGATTTTGTGACGATCATGCGGCGACATAAAGTTCTTGGATAACAGTGGCTCCTGAATTTTGGGGGGCAACTGATGTTCTTGGCCTAGAAGTCCCAAGACCAGCAGCCAACAGTCACGCCTTCCGGGAGTTGTAGTTCGAGAAATTCTGCCGTATTTCTCCCCCCCCCCACACACACACACACCTCCACTCCTCCTTTGGGAATCACTGAGATGAGAGGGATCCCTGGGACTTAACGATACCAAACTACAGTATTACGAACCCCGTGCAGAACATTAATCCAACACGAGGGCAAGAAATTGAAAGACGCCCGCCCTCTGCTGGCACCGGTGGGGAACTGTCGCCAGAGACTCTGGTCTCCCATAATGCCTTTCGATTGTTTCTGGGAATTCCCTTCTTCGCCTGTCCAGGAAGTCCAGTTCACGGGAAGGGAAGGCGTGCGTAAAGGTATCCTAGTTGGAGAGGGGTTGCCGGTTGGGTGTCAAGGGAAGGCAAGTATTTATTCTCCCCCCCTCCTTTAATTTCTTACTCCTCTTCCTCAGACATTTTTCGTCTCAAGGTGGGTTTGATGCCGAATCGCGCAAAAGGCTTGCGGTTCCTTCTGTTTAGTAGTGCTTTGTGCTAAAAGGGTTTCGCAGATTAATCGTGGGAAGGAAGAGTGGATGATCTGGAGGGAAAACTACGTTTAAACAGCCCCAAATCGCGTTCGTCTGCTTTGACAGTTTCAAATACTGTAACGGGGAGGAATTTTGCAGCCAAGTTGTGGCTCGTCCCGTGGAAACACGCGATTTCACTTTTTTCCCTCCTGTTCGCACGACTTTTTTTTCTGGGGTTGGGTCAGTTTGAACCAGGCCTCTGTGCTTCTCTCCATCCCCCGTCTTCTCAAACCAGAATCATTTGAATTCTTCAGCACGATACTATATAAACTGGCGTTTCCAGTAATCCAGAAATACTTTTAAAGTCCCGTAACACAGTAGTCCCCAACCTTGGGCTTCCAGATGTTCTTGGACTACAACTCCCAGAAGCCTTCACCACCAGTTCTGCTGGCCAGGATTTCTGGGAGTTGAACATCTGGAGGACCAAGGTTGGGGACCACTGCCGTAACAGCTTTGCATTGTATTTGGAACAGCCTATGAGAATCTGCGGTGTATAAATGTTGCTTGCAGTTTGCAAGACCTGAGCTGTTCAGGAGAGGCTGTTTCACAGGTTATGAACTCATAGGGTTGCCTTAAGTCAGCAACAATTTCATAGCACATTCTACCAATGCTTTTGTTCTGTTTTTCTCACACAGAGAGAAATCACCTTTTTCAGCCAATGGCTGAATTGCTTCCATCCCCTGAAAAGGACCTCACTAGGCTGGGTTGTGCTACCTTGGTAGAACCGCTGGCAGATCCTACTTCACTTCCAACAGAGCTAGTGTCTGCCGAGATCAATCCCCCGTGTCGCTTTTTCCTGGAAGGACGTTGCCGGTTTGGTGTCCGCTGCCGAAACTATCACTCCAGTGACGGTGATGCCCATCATTTTGAAGATCGTAACCCCACCTCCAAGCGTTCCTCACAGCTTTCGCCGAGCAAGAAGCCTGCCATGAAAACGGCAGAGGATGTTATCTCTCGTTTGCTCTGGGACGCCCAGGTGCCTGCTGAACACTTCTCTGTTGGTTACCTTGACCGGTTCTTGGGGATAGTGGAGCAACCTTTTAATGATTTCTCATGGGAGGATCTAACTTCAGCTGGGCCTGCTGTACTGGCTATCCCCAAACATAGGATCCAGTACTTTAAATATAGGGATCGTACAGTGTGGGACAAAGGGAATCGCACAGATGATATCTTTGGGTCTACAGGAAGTGGAAGAACCATCTTGGACGTGATAAAGGAAGAAGAGGAGGCAGCTCAAGCCATCAAGGAAGAAAATGACAGCCGTCCTAAGGCAGATGAACTGGCAAGTATAGGGCAAGTTATGGCCGAATACAGTGGATCAGAGGATGGCAATGATCCAGTTAGAGCTGGAGAAAAGCAGCTGAATAGGACAACTGCAGAAGTGGGTGTAGTCAACAAGATTGAGGAATCCATGCAAAATCTGAAATTGGTTGGGGATGCATGCTCCATACTAAATGAAAATGGTGCGAGCAACAGGATGGAACAAGAGGAAGTTCTCTCAGTTGCAAATAGCTTTTCTACCAAGGAAAAGGTGATCGAACACAGCTCAGAGGAAGATGGCCCAGGGATGATGGAAGGAAGCATAGCTTTAGAAAGCAGAGAGATGTACTTTCCTCGTCCCAGATGCCGTCCCACTCATTTTGTAGCTATCCCGGTTACAAGCCCAGAGATCTGGAAAGCAGTGAAACTTTTCCAAGAGGCCCTCTGTAGAGTTCGTCCAGATTTAGCCAAGTTTTGTGTGCCTTTGACTTCTCTCCATCTCACCCTTGGCTTGATGCGTTTACACACTCCAGAAGAGATTTACAAAGCTGTTGTGGCTCTCCAAGAGCTACAAGCCAACACCCGGCGCCTGCTGCCCCCTGCCTTGCTTCTTTCTTTCTGTAGTGTTGAGACTTTTCACTCACATGTGCTCTATATGTCTCCAGCATCTGTACCTGACCTGGATTTACTGGCCCAAACTTTGGAGAATGCCTTTAGCAAGAAAGGGTTGACTGTAATTCAACCTCCACACACAGAGAAGTTCCACTTAACAATTGTGAAGATACCACCTGCAAAGGCAGCACCACAACTGCCAACAGACTCCTCATGGATTCCTAGTATTGAGAATTTAGGAACACAGGCAGTAGAGGCACTATGCTTATGTGAGGCAGGAAAGCACAGGACTGATGGGGCATACACTACAGTACTGAAATTAAAATTATACTGAAATTCCTTATCAGTGGGTAAGAGTGTGTACAAGCCAAGATCCACTTGTTGAAGCACGTCAGCTGCTTAAAGTGAATGTATCATTGTGAACAGCAGAAAACTCAGAAAATGTGGTGGACTGGCTCTGGCTTGAGGAAGTTTGTAGTAGTGGAAGCCAAAATCTAAGGTCAGGCTGCCTCAAAGCACATTTAAGCAAAGAGGATGAAAATCAGCAGGTATACAACTGCAATGTATTTCGACACAACGACCAAGATAGAAGCTGTCAGATGGGAGTTATGCAACCTCAGAATTTCTGCAGCTTCTTTGTACCTGTACATAGATAAAAGTGAAGTACAACTGTGTAGTTCAGAATAAAGGCACCAGAAGCCATTTTATGCACTCTCTTTAATATGCTGATTGGGTGCTCTCCTTAAAAAAAAAAAAGATGTGTTCAAGATTCCCAGAGGAAGGATGTGGTTTAGTTAAAATTCCTTTGCTTTTTGATGTACTGTAACAAAATGAAGCACTACTTCTTAATAAAGATAAACCTGATCCGAATGCTGGTCATTACTATGGCTCTTTGAAAGAGTCTCAGTTGTGCAAATGAATGACATACTCATAAACAGGAAATTAGGTTTAAGAAGCCTGACAGAACAATCCTGGTTTCATCTGGTTTATGTGCTATCCATTCTGGATGACCTTTGCTATGGTTTCCTAGGTATTAAGTACTTTACCAGACCCTTGTGTGGGCAGTGTATTAGGACTGTGCAGCTTGCCTAAGGCTACAAAGACTGGCTCTTCTGGAAAGTACCATGAGGAATCAAACTCCCAACCTCTGCTGCCAGATATACTAATTCAATGAGTATCTGTGCAGTTAGCAGCGCTAGTCTTAGAGCCAAGCATTATCCCTACAAATATGGAACATAACTTCTGGAGGCTCCTGTTTCAGAGCAAGTTCAAGATCCAGTTTAGTTCCTTAGATTGACTAGAAAGTGGGAGAAACTTCAGCTCCTCTTGCTCATGTAGTTTGCTTGAGGCAGCTGTAACAGTATTGAAGCTCATAGTATCCAGGCCTAAAATACTGATGCCCCAAAGCCTAAATCAGCTTTTTGCAATATATTTCTCTAATGGAAACACCAATCCAGCTTGAACTTAAAACTCTTCTTCCTGTGAAATGCGTGTAAGGGTAAAGAATAGCAAAAACTCAACTAGAAGCTGGCAGTAGTATGTATGCACACCCCATCCCAAAACACTTATCAGAAGGTTCTAAGGAACTATGTGAGGAGAAAAGATGATAGCTAGAAAGAAGCTGGAGCCAAAACGGCAATTTTTAAAAAAAATAATAAGGGGGGGGGGAAATCAGCAAATAAAGCAATGATATCATGTAGGCATCCTTCAGTCTTGAGAGACTGGTAACGTGCTCTAAATAGTCTTGGAACAACATCTAGTGTGGCTGAGAAGGCCAATGGTATCATAAGCAGCCTTCAAATCCAGTGGGTTTTCTACTTCCTTTTAGAATGAGGGGCACAGACCTTACGTAGTTTCAGAGTAGGTTACTCAAAATTGGACCGGGTAAGAAGTGAAGCCAGGTTGCTGCTCCATCTCCCTGGGCCACTAAGTCAACTCAGTTCTGTTATTTCATTCCTTAAGATAGTCTGATCTCTACTGAAACTTCAACAGCATCACACCAGAATTGCATCTTTCAAATTCTTTTAAAATTCTTTTTAATCAAATGGAAAAAAATTCAGAGGTTTCTGAAAAGGAAAAGGGTGTCTTTGAAAAATCCAGCCCAAGCCAAAACATCCCAAAATTACACATGTTCCAAAACAAAAAGAAAGAAGAGGAGTTAGAGCAAAGAAGGGGAGGGAGTTATAAGAGCTAGAGAGACTAAGGGCAGGAAAGGGGGAGAGAGAAAGAGGAAAAGAAGACAACTAGACAATCTTCCAAAACTTTAAAACAAAAGCAAAACAATGTGACGAAGAAAAGTGAAAATGGGGTGGTGCATTTTCTGAATTTACCTGTAAAGAACTGAGGACAGAGGGAGAAAAAAATAAATAAAAAACTTAGCATGACAACTCCAGAACACAATAGGAAAAGCAGGAGTTTGCAAGGATCATCTTGTGTGTTGATTTGATGCCACGGCCACTGCTTATTGCTTTAATTTGATTCTCTTCACTTCATGTTGCCTTATCCATATAAGGTTTAATTTAAAAGTCTTTTACATTCTCCTCTGCATAGGAAAAAGTCTTTGAACTGGTACGAAATGGGCGAAGGCAGATTTTGCTTTGCTCTTCCTCCTCAGGCTGGTTTTTTGCTCAACTGGAGAGGTGGCATCTCTCTCGTGCTTTTTCAGAACCAGGTCGTAGCTCGGAAGAGGAAAAAACTGAGACAGTGTTAGTTTTTGAGGAGCATAATGGAGAACACAGTAAGTGCACACAAAACAACCTGGATTTTTCATCTTCAGAGAAAACCACTTGTTAAACTCATCATTATAAAAGTAGAAAAGCAAGGGGATTTTCTTAGAAAACAACAATTTTCTAGCATTATTTACAATTTGCAGCTTCTGTACAAAATCATATTCCACATATTTACACAATGGAACCATTTGATCTCAAGGACTGCTGCCTTCTGAGAAGTTTGCCAAGTTGAATCGAAAAAATTATTTCTCTGGAAAGATAGTGCTGTGATTTTTGAAAATAAAAATAGACAACATAATCTCCTTGTGGTTTAGTGAGAAAATACTCTAGTTTCCTGAACACTTGTGAATGTGAAGATTAACAGAAGAGACAGCAGGTAAATCCACATCTCCCAGAAATTCATTTACAAATCCCCCAACTCTTTATCTCAGCAATTTCTGACCAATTTCTGACAGAAGGCATTTTGCAGCTGTGTTTTCTCATGCATCTTGACACAAAGAAGAAACCACAGTTGATCGCAACCTGTTTACCCACACACACTGCCCTATCCCACTGCTGACAAAAAAAAAATCATAATTGTTAAAGGCTCTGCTCTTCTCTGGGTCTGGTGGTCTTAGATGCCATCTGATGTCCATGGATCTTACCCTCTTCTATCCGTGTGCAGTGTGGACAGCGGGAGGAGTGGCAGAACTAGGCTCCAGAATGCCATGGCAGCTAACTGAATCTGGTTTTATATACATATATACATACAAATACATATATATATATATGTACATGTAGGACAGGGCAGGGGAGGGTGCTTTCAAAAATTGGCCAGGACCGCCAAGCTCTGCTTGCAGTCAATCTTGGTGGCGTCGGGACTAGTATACGCAAGGGAGAGAGCTGCGAGGAAGGCTTGGCACTCCTCCTCGCTCTCGAAGGCCAGCTCTGACACAACGTAGGAGACGGGAAGCACCGGGCGGAAACTGAGGGAGATAAAAAGAGACACTGGTGAATGGGAAAAGGCAACAGATGAAAGACAGGTTAAGACAACAAGCAGAATCCTTATACACTAAAATTAGTCACCCTGGCAACATGACGACACCAGATGAGATGTTAGGGTTTTCTCAAGGTTCATGATACTTAGGGACAGTATATTTTGCTTGTTTGTTTAGAGGGGATTTTTGCAAGATGCACTCTTAATACAATGGACCCTCGACTTACACACAGCTCCACTTACAGACTTTTCTGGTCGCAAAATTTAGGTTCGACTTGCAGCCGAAGAATCGACCTACAGACCGGAAAAAAAACCCAAAATGGAACAAGAACGGCCAGTTACGGATTAATCGGTTTTCACTGCATTGTAGGTCAATGGAGCCTCGACCTATAGACTTTTCGACCTGCAGTCACCGTTCCAATTCGGATTAATTCCGTAAGTCGAGGGTCCACTGTATATGAAAAAAAGACTTCGGACAGCCTGGAATATCTGAATGTTCATTTATACCACAACTGCTAAGACCCTGGGGATGGGGGCCGCCACTGAAGTATTCTATCTTCAGAAGATGGCTCAGAAAGGCTGCTGTTTCCATTAGTGACTTAAAAACTACAGTCAAACATGGTCCCACAGAAATGACACATTCCGAATTAAACATCCTACTACACTCCAGCACAGTGGTGTTGAATTTATTTGTCTCACTTAATGCTGAAGAAAGATTAGCTCCTCTTGGCACTTACCAGCACCATAAACCACTTTAATCTAGATTCTTTTACTGCTTACCCTGTCTCCCCGAAAATGAGACCTAACCTGAAAATAAGCCCTAGTATGATTTTTCTGGATGTTTGTAATATAAGCCCTACCCCAAAAATAAGCCCCAGTTAAGTGAAACCCTGCCCTCCACCCTTGTGCAGCAACTAGAAAATGACATAAGTGTAAAGTAAAACATTTCCTGAAAATAAGCCCTACTGCATTTTTGGAGCAAAAATTAATATAAGACCCTGTCTTATTTTCGGGGAAACATGGTAGGGAAGTAGGATAGAATAGAGCCGTCCAGCAAGACAGCAAATTAGTCATGACGCATGAGTTACTCCGGAGTCTATCAGTGCATGGCACCAGGACTGGAACCAGGAGAGTGAGAAGGTACCACTTCTCCCTAGGAGGGATACACTTGTAACTGTCAATCTAGAACATGTAGCATTTCAGGTGTGACCCTACGGCACAAACAGGATTGGGGAAAGAATCAGTAATGAAACTAAAAAACCTGTGCATTTGGACATCTTTTTGGACAAGTGGCTTTGCTCAATGGACCCAGTTCTCTACACCTGGCCCCTGTCTGCATCTTTTATGAGACAAAATAGAACTTATTCCAGACATCTTGCCTATCATCCTCTCTGGATGCTCTATTTCTGTTTGCTGGTCCCTTCTTGGCCTACCCCAGGTCACTCCCCCCCCCCGGCATCAGATCCACACTATCGCAGGAAATGAATCCAAGTACCTAAATATTTTGCAAGCTTTTAGGCAGATTAAAAAAAAAGCTTTTAGGCGACATCTATGTAAAACATCTACATGTTTTAAATGCTTAATATTATCATCCTCATCTGCACCTGAATATGCAAGGCACCAGAATTGCAGAAGGGACTTAAAGAGACAGGAGAGCTTGTAAGCCGCCCTGAGTAGACCTTGTCTAGAGGGGCGGGGTAGAAATTGAATAAATAAATAAATAAATATAAAATATGAAGGGAAAACTCCTTCATTCCTTTCAAGCTAGAACAAACAAAGTTTGGTCTTCCAGATGTTTTGGATTACAACTGCTATCATCCCTTTTCACTGGGCATGCTGGCTGGAGCTGCTGTGAGTTCAATCCTAATATGTCTGGACAGTTAAACGTTCCCTAACCCTGATTTAAATGTCTGTGGGATAAACTGGATAGATGCTAAAGGACAGATGCAGTTTATTTACACTGTACTGTTTTCAATGGGACATGGGCCCAGCACTTCATCCCCATCAGAATCCACATCCAAGCTGATTTCTCACAGAAGGGAATGCAGCAAAGACATGCACTGATGCTCAAAAGCCCATCCACTTAACGCCTCTGGGTCCCAATGGAGAAAAGATATAAGTGTACAAAAGGCTGACAACATAAGACTGTTCTCCTTAGATGGATCAAGCCATGCACTAGGATAATGCAAGTGGGCAGGGATGGGACGGTCTTCCTATTCGTAAGTACTGAATATAAAAATGAGGGGGCAAAATACAAACTGTCTAAGGCCTATTCAGGTAATTATTATTTCTGAGGTTTCCTTTGCAAGACAACATTGGTATTTTTGCTTATGCTAATAGCTCTTTTTTCCTTCACACAATAAAATACCAACTATATTTCCTATCAATAGAGGATGCTTCTGAATCAAAGCCTTATGAACTCACATGACTCTCAAGATGAATCAAAATATGCCTGACATGCCTTCAAAAGCGGATCTAACAGAACGCTACTACTTACCTGTCAAAGGCAGGGCCCTCTGTTCTAAGGCTACGGAAATATAATCCCATTTTACTGAGCCCAATCTACAGGATATTTATCTCCCTCTTTGTGCCACCTTATACGGTGAAAGCAGGGAGGAAAGTGTGAAGATGTAAGGCATCTCCCCATCCCTCACCCCAAGGGGTGCCTGGTTCAGCTTCACATACGTTTTGATCATGGCTTTGAGGGCCGTTTTCCTCTCCCGTTCAGCAAATTTGTCAATGAGGTAACCGGACATGCAGGGCGCCTGGCGGTATAAGCAGAAGAATCGGTGATAATTGGACAGAGCCCAGGCAGCTCGCAAGGCAAGGGCATGGGCCACACAGGGGTCTGCTTTCAGCTCTTTGGTCAAATAGGCCAGTTCCGTGGTGATGTCTGCAAGGGAGAGAAGAGAAAGAACCGTCACCAAGACACACAATCACACTGTAGCTCTGTTTCCTGCTTACATTCATTGCCGGCTCCCTTTGGCTTCAATATTTAGATATTAAAGATCTACTTCCACATTCAAACTTATCTCACTTTGCCACAGCCTATCAGCAAAACCATTTCCATCTATGAATATAATGAAATGGGAATAAGAGCCACCTTTCCCCCAACAAGGAACCTCTCTAAATTTAGAAGCAACTTATTTCAACACAAGGGCTTCATTCTTGCCCCTTGAGATTTGCCTGGCACCCTCGCTGGGAGGTTTTAAGAACAAGCTGAAGACTTGGTTCTTCAGGCAGACCTTCCCCCCTTCCATTTTTTAGTTTCTTGAGTCTTACCATCTCGGACTTTGCCTATTTCTATCTTGTTTGATATTATTGTTTTAATTTTTGCTTTATACTTGGACTATAAGCTGCCCAGAGTAGATTTGATGAATCTAGATGGGTGGCGTAAAAGCCGGAAAATAAATAAATAAATAAAAATTACATTTTAAATAATTCTATTTAATACTTCTTTATTCTGTTCTCAAGAGACTGCACTGCAGTGATAGTTGTGATCAAAGGTGAAATGATGGGACCAAGCATATCAGAAACATACCTGGAACAAAAGTCTTAGAAGCATTTCAATTTTTTAGAATGGGGGGTAACTGTATAAAAAGACAGAAAACCACCAAAATTGGTGCCATGACTAAGCTGACGTATAGCCATCTAGAGGACTAAACTGGGATGCTTGGAGGTTTTCCACATCCGATTTATAGCAAATTGAAATCCACATTCTTAAAAGGTTTAACACTTTCCTCACAAGTGGCAATGATGAAGAGGGAGCACTCAAATTTGTCGGAATAGCCTGGGAGTACCTGATCTGTCTTACTCTTAACTTCAACCTGTAGTGACTTGCATCTTTCCCCCAGTCCCAGAGAGGCTATAAAAAAGTAATCCTGGAGAAAAATGCCACAGTCCCAAAGTACTAAAGAAACACTGACAGATTAGGTGAACCTATTAAAGACTCTGCATCCCTTGTGACCCACTACTTGCCTCCTGAGTTCTTGGTGAAAATATAATAGAGGATGCGGTAGGCAGTAAATTCTCCAACATTTCCAGGGAGGTTCTCTGCATACAGAGACTTCAGCTGTGTCTGGCACTGGTTGAATTCCTCGTGGTCACCCTGGAAAAGGTAACTTGTCATCACCAAAGATGTTCTGATTGTCATAAAACCTATACTGCTACAACAGCCAGCTAAAGAACTGCCACTCATCTCTCGAGCATTGCCTGGTCTCTGGGTGAGAATTACTGGTAAGGTAAAGGTTCCCCTTGACAATTAATCCAGTCGTGTCCGACTCTAGGGTGTGGTGCTCATCCCCATCTCCAAGCTGTAGCGCCACTGTTTGTCTGAAGTCAGTTTCTGTGGCCACATGGCCAGCACGACTAGACACAGAACGCCGTTTCCTTCCCACCATGGCGGTACCTATTTATCTACTAGCATTTACATGCTTTTGAACTGCTAGGTCAGCAGGAGCTGGAACAAGCGACGGGAGCTCACTCTGTAGCGTGGATTCGATCTTACGACTGCTGGTCTTCTGACCTCGCAGCACAGAGGCTTCCGCGGTTTAACCCACAGCGCCATCACGTCCCGCTATAGAATTACTGGTAAAAAAAATTTCCCCTACAATTCAAAAAAACTGGAAACATTTTTCTTTCTTTCTAGAAAGCAAAAGCAGTTTCCAAAACGCTTTCATGAATCTGACAGCCTGGTACCCACGACATTTCCTCTAGAATGGTGATCAGAAAGTTTCCAGTGGGGTGGTCCGAAATCATGTAATGAAGCAACCTCACTGAGGTTGAAAAGTTCTGCATCAATGCATGTATACAAGACCACCTAAGGAACTGACATATTCTGCCTTGAGTTCTATGACAGAATCTTCACAGAAAATGTACTGAATATTTATTTCACTGGATTTGCTACATTAATGTATCACCTTTCCACCAACAAACTCATACAGCATAAATGGTCCTCCCTCAACACTATCCTTACACCCTTATGATAGGTTAAGCTGAAAAACAGTGACAACTAAGTTTTTAGCTGAATAGGGACTGGAACACGTTTATTTATATCTCCTCAGTACTGCCTCTTACTCTACACCATGCTAGGGCTTACCTTCTCTAGTGCTATTCTGGCATGAGTTTCATAGACCTCCACAGTGAATTCTGTACGAATTCCCTGAACCTAGAAAGGACAAGAGCGAGTGTTAACAAGCAGCAGCTTAAATCGGTGTATACTAACTGCCAATATTTGCCGAGGATGGCAAAATATTTCATAATTATACAGAATATTGAATGTATAAAGCAAACAAAGAACTCTGTTCTAACTGAAAGATTTAACTACTTCCTAAAAACTCCTTTGTGTAAATAGCAAACAACTAAAGATTCTGCTCACAAGGAGCAATTCAGTTAAAAGATCTTTAGCACCTACCACCAGCATCCTTCCTTAGTCAAGCAGCAATTCAGTTAAAAGATCTTTTCTCTAGCACCTACCACCAGCATCCTTCCTTAGTCCAGCTCTCCAACAGCTAAAGAGGCTTACCGTGAGGTCTTGCCGGATGGATTTCATCTGCTCACAAGCATAAGCATAATCTTGCTTCTCCTTCCAGTGGGATTTCACCATGTTCAAAGATTTTTTAAGCACCTGGGAAGAAAAAGCAAAGAGCAATTTAGAGACACCTGGCAAATGCCAACCAAATTCCAAGATATTTATAAGCCACAAGTAATGGAAAATAGCAGGTACTCATCAACTGGAAACATCCTCACCACAGGGACAAGGATGCTGAATTCAATCTCCATCTGAGTTATGGAATGAGGGCATCTTTATCAAGACTGCAATGTCTGCTGTCACTGATTTTTAACATTATGTTTTCTCAACAGTATGCAATTCTCTTAGTTCTCTTTTATCCTGCAATTTCCATGTCTAAACAATCTTCAAAGCAACTGACAGTAGTGCATATTTAATACTTTCTTATGAGACTGCGTATAAAGGAGACTTCTCTGGCCCTTCAATCTATCATCTGCCTTAACTGCTACTTAGCAATCATGTGGTGAAAGGGCTTTCTACTTGGCCTACCTATAGAGCAGAAACAATGGACTGAGCTAGGATGTGAGCCCAAGTGGAGTAACAAGGACACATTCCCTTTCCTTGCACATGTCATGACACAAAAAAGGGGGGACTGTACTGTGTTTATTTTGCATCATTTTGTCTAATTCCTCGTCTCTTCTTTAGGCCTCTCTGTTGTTCATGATGCCAGCCTGCTTATTTTCATTCGTAGGACTTTTTAATGTCACTATAACTCCAATTCCTGTCTCTTCTCCAGAACGAAACAACGGAAGTTGAAAAGGCCAAGAGTCCCTGGAGCAGAAAGATGCTAGAAAGGCCTGGACAAGACTCTTTTGCTCAACAACTACTCACAGAGACTGGCCGGACAGTGGAGGGGTCTGGTGCGCATGTAAGGCGCAGGTAATGTTTGGTGATCTCCTGGGAGGTGCCCACAATCTTCAGCTCATTCCAATCGAGACCATCAGAGCCAGAGGTATCTAGACTGTTGATCTGCAAGATAAGGGGCTCCAGACGCAGCTTTTTGGAGTGAGTGCCATGCTGGAATCGGGCTGCCCGACGCTCTTTCTTGAACTCCTTCTCAGGATCTTCATAGTCCATAGTGTTTCGCTTCCGGTTGCGCTTGGAAGGCCCTTGATCATGCCTGCAGAAAAATAACTCAGAAATCATTTAGGGAAGGAAGACCACACCTCAAAAAGGTCTAGTTGATTATCTCCAGTTACTCGTATTCTAAAGGTCTTTCATTCCCTACTCTGTGATTCCACAAGTAGCCAGAAATCACAGTAAAGCTCCCGTTTCACAAGCAACTTGCCTCTTTCCTCGCTGGGCTCTCATCCGGCCTCTATCCATGTGGCCTCCACGGCCCCGGTTCTTCTGGGTATTTCTCCTGCCACCCAAGCGACACTCGTTGCCTGAATAGGAACTGTCTGAATCTGAATCACTATTAGAGAGTGGAGGGGAAAAAGTGGTTTTATTTCTATTACTCACATCACCCTCACTGTACTGTGAAATATGATCAATTAAGTTAAAAGCTGCAATGCCCATCACACTGATTGTGCAAAAGTACAAAACACAAACTGATTTTCCAAGAATTTGTTTTTGCTTCTCAAAAAATTAAGCTTCTACTTGTAGTCCAAAATGCAGGACTCTCAAGATTATGCAAGCGAAACTACAATACTGTACAGATCCTGTATTTTCTTCCCTCATGCACACCAACAGCAGTCACCTGAAATGCAACTGCAGAAAACCTGAGGCACCGAATACACACCACTGCTTCTTCTTCTACTACTACTAGTTCATATGCTTACCTTCGTCGAAAGTGCCGACTGGGAGATCGTGATGAGGACCGAGACCTGGAACGTGAGTCAACACTTGAGGATGAGCTGTTCTCCTTCATGAAGACATTGCGGTTTCCGAACTTGGTAGGGAAGCTGTTCCCACGAGCCCGACCAGCCCCAGCTCCCCCGCTGCCTCCTCCCCGCTGAGGCTGAGAGCTGCCACTGCTGTTCCGTTGCTGCTGCTGCTGGGAAAGGGTGGACTGCATAGAAGGGCGTCCCGAATGGAGAGAAGACATTTCCCAACGCTGCTGTTTCTTCTTGGGGCTTTCAGCCACATTGTCTCGGCCCAAGCTGCAGTAAGAGAGCAATAGAACGGTTATGTCCAAGGGGTTTGCTCAAGTCTTCTTTCCTTATGTGCTAACCTGATCTGCTTCAAGGGAAATCTGCCAAGAAAAAAAAAGAAAGAAACGTGCCCCAACTCTTGTCTACTAGATCACATTCATACCAGCTTAACACTTTCTACTCAGGAAAGTTAAGTGTTTGCAAACCCACACTCATACAGAGAACCTACATGGAGCAGTTATGAGCAGGGAATAGAAACTTGCAGTCTCCAGATGTTTTAGAACGGCACTTCCCAGCAGTTGAGACCAGCAGAGTCAATGGGAGCCTGCAATCCAAGAACATGGAAAGGGCTACACATCTCCTATTCTGGTGGGCTGAGACTGGAGACAGAGTTCACTGAGTCTCACTGGTTTAACCTCCAGCTCCACACAACTTCCCTGCCTAATTTTTCTTCACAGGGTTACTGTGAAAATAAAACGGGTCGGAGCAGACTAAGTTTGGGACACAACATAAATCCAATAAAAGAAACAACAATGATAACCAAAGGCAACCCTCAAACAATTAATTCAGAAGTCCTTGTTTACATTTCTAGCTCTACAGATCCTCACCCTGGAAGTGGCTCTCTGCTCCAGTCAATTGTATAGGCAGTGCCATCCTGCAACCTGGCTTGCAACACTTCCTTGAGCAATTTCTCAGTGCGATCTTTGTCTTCCTCTGATTCGCAGGCAGTGAAACAGCGCTGAACATACTCTTTCATGTCTTGTGGCCAATCTTCCGGCTTACCTGTTGAAGAACTGCAGGCAGAAATTTATTAATATTCTTAAGGCCCCAGTAACATATACCCATAAACGTGAACAGCTTTTGTGAGGCTTTTTACTGTGATTAAGGATAAGTGAAGATAATAAGATTTTGCGGAAGCACCGTCTTCTAGCACAGTGGTTCTCAAACTGGGGTCCCCAGATATTCTTGGACTGCAATTCCCAGAAACCTTCCCACTTGCTATGCTGGCCAGGATTTCTGGGAGTTGCAGTCCAAGAACATCTGGGGACCCCAGTTTGAGAACTACTTTCATACATGAATTCAGTTCTTCCTCTCAGAAAACTTTATCTTGAAACTCGATTTCCAGTTTCTTCTCAGAAAGAGTAGACTATGAAACTGACTGGCACATATACAAATAAGTGTCTGAAAAACAGGTAGAGCTAAGGGAGTTCTATAACCTACAATAGGTCCCATCCCCACCCCCACCTCATTTTGTCACTTACTGACCACCAAAACACAAACAATGTTGAGGATGTTATGCACACCTGTGATTGTGCCGTTTTTCAGAATTCTGTTGTGAACCAAAGTTGTGTTGCTGCTGTTGCTCTGATGAGTTGAAGTTCTGATTTGTTACCACAAAGGGGCGTTTCGGAAGGTTGAATTTCAGACCACCAGATCCAGGTGCTTCTGTTTAGGAAAAAAGTATTAAAGCCTTCCGTCTCTGACAGGAGCAGATATCTACCAACTGAAAAGGAAATTTCTAAGGCCATCAATGCCACCATACAAAATCTATCTAGTTTCGGTTGCACAATCAAAATAGGCAAACAAAACGCTGCAATCTGCTACTGAGGAAGTGCTACTGTACAACTCTTAAAACTGCACAGGAAATAGTTTTTTTTAATTAAAACAATGAAACAAAAGATTATTTAAACAATTTATAAATGGAGGAAGTGCTCCCACCCATTGGGGACAAGAGAAGCTAATGAGTAAAATTATTCATCCACAAAAATCACTTTTTTTCTTTTAAGATGAAAAAAAGAAATCCTCCTTCAGCAATATAAAGGAGGATGTTGCCCATTTTTGAAAATCTTAGAGGCTGGATCCAAGCCAGCCCAGGAGCACAGAGACACAACAAAGTTGAGTACCAAAGAGCTTTTTGTGCAAATGAACATGATTTCCACATAGACCAGAAGGTAATCCGTTTCTTGCCAGTTTCCTTTTCTAGCTGCATCACTTGCACCCATCACCCATACAGATGGAGACGTCACCAACCCTAGCTTTGGGAAAACCTGACTGAAGAAACAGACCTTTACTTGCACTGCTCAGCATCCATGCCCACAAATGCCCGTAAATATCCATAAAATGGGGTTGGTAAACCTGGGTTGGGTTGGCAGCAAATATTTCCTACAGCTCGCTTTTTTCTTGAAGAAAAGTGAATTCAGTAAATCTCCACTTTTATGCTCAGAAAAAAAGGAATGATAGGCAGTTGGCACACGTTTGTGTAAAGCCAGGTGCCATTTCAAAAGAAGCAAAATCTGCTATTCTTTAAAAATGGTGCTGCCTATCAACTGTGCTCTTAAGAACTTTATATTCCTTATCACAGATTATATTAAAGGTTTTCTCTGTTTACTTCCAGAGGTAAATTCATGGCTACTAATGGTGAACTGGCAGATATATCTCTGGACTCCCAATACAATGGGAAGTGACAAGCAAAGGAGTTGCCACCAAAGAATTTCACGAGATACCTTTTCTCCAGCCTTTGTTTTAGCCAGCCCTAATAGAAGTTTCCTGGTTACAGCCACAGCTTAAAATCATGTCAAAGGGGACCACAAGACGTTTTTGCACAATGGATTCTTTGACTGTATCTGGTAACATCACTTGGTAATAAAACTCCCACCTTTCTTACCGAGTAACCAAGTCTTATTTCCCTTTCCCTAAGAATCCAGCTCCCATCCTCTTCCCTCAGGCACCCACAAACTCACGTTTCATGCGGTTCCAAAGCTGCTGCCCCTTCTTGGGCTTGGGCGCCTCCTGATAGGAATGCTGCTGCTGGTTGTAGGAGGCATTTGACTGGTTTTGTTGGGAGTGTGGTCCTCCGGTAGGTCCACCCTGCTGCTGCTGCTGCCCCAAGGAGCCCATGGGATGGTTGCTATGCTGGGAAGGATGGGAGGGATGTTGCATAGGTGACTGTGGTGGATTTGAAACTTGCATTTGCTGCTGTTGGCTTGCATATGACATCCCTCCATCTTCCATGCCGGGGACTGGAGGCTGCAAAAATAAAAAATAAAAAAAGAGGTTTGTATTGCTGTTCACTCTGCAACATGGGAATCATTATGAGTGCAAGGTTCAAAATAAGCCAGGAGTGAGCAACCTGTGAGTCTCCAGATAATGCTACACACCTCCCATCGTCTTTGACCACAATCCACTCCAGGTAGGTCTAACAGAGGCCACAGTCCTGCACTAATTTCCAAGAGCTTAAATTTCCAATCCATCACAAATCTAAAAACGGTGAGATGGCCAACATGTTGCCCATCCCTCTGTGCTCATGAAGTCTCATTCTCCTGACTGAATGCCTACAACTACCTAATCTTTCTCAGAACCAGGAAGCCATGTCAGAATCCAGCAGCTCTTCTGTTTAGCCTCTGGAGTGACAGCAGTTCTTCCCCATCAGTTCCCAGCAACTTTCCCTCTATGTTTCTGTCCCACTGAGCAGGAGCCTTGCTCCGTGTGCATTTGGGGGGGGGGGCTTCATTCAAAACAGGAAATAAAAAAATTGGCTGCTGGCTGCCCATGCGCAACTTCAAGGAAGTTCTGGGCAAGCAAGCATGTGCGCAACTTAAAATAAACATTGGTTCCCAGTCATTAACTATTGCACTATGACTGCAAATCTCTGAAGGAAGTATATGTTTTTAAACTGAGTTATGAGATGCTCCAAATTCCTGTCTGGGGAAAAAAGTGGCACATAAATTAAATAAACAAATGAAGGTGGCACCTCACCCATAAGTCATAAGTCACAATATAGTGGACTCAAAGATAAGAGAACTTTATATAGATGAAGATAAGTCAGAGGGATTGCTTCCACTTCCTCTCTTTAGTAGAGATACACATTTTTCCCCCTGACAAGCAGGCTGTAACCTACCAAACATCTTCATTTTGAACATGCTAAGATGGTATTGAGTTTTTCTGGAAAATATTTCAGAACTGGTGCAGATTGACATGACTATGCTTTCCCTTCTCTTAACTGACAGAAGGAAAAGGTACTTGGGGGTATGATAAATATCAAGGGAACTATCAGTCAGGTATCATTACTTGGTTCATGCTTGCTTGGTGCTGTCCAGGAGCTGGTGGCTGCTGAGGTGCTGCAGACGGGTAAGAGCCTGGAACACCATATTGCCCAGAAGAGCTGTAGCCAGGATATACATTCTGTGGAGAGGGTATGCCACAGTGCCAGGTTAGTACAGAGGTATTTAACAAAATTGTAGCTTCAGAAGTATAAGGTGCGACCTTCCCCATGTTTTAGAAAATACACAGCATAACTAACAATGGCCATAGACTTATTTCTTTGCTCCATTCTCCACCCAACCAATGTGTTCTATTTAATATGTTTTCAGCCACCATGATGTCTAGAGACAGCTTGCCATGCCTCAATGTTATTCTCAAACCCTGTGTTTATCTCATATGCAACAGCTATTAACTAAAGCTGGTTGTTTTTATGGCACACCTTCCTGGGCAAGTGCAACAATTTTGTTAAAGCATAGGGATCATGGGATGAACAGATGAAGGCCAGCTGGCATGTAGGATCCATCTCTATCTGAGAGTTCCTTCATGCTGTGTAATTTTAGAGTCCTTGATGGAGACATCGTCCTGACTGAGGACTAAGAGACAATTCTGGGAGAGGACCTAGGAGATCAGCCAATTTGCTGTTACTTACCATAGGATAATAATAATTATAGGGATAGAGGTAACTATATTGTTGATACCACTGGTAGTACTGTTGCTGCTGTTGGAGAGATTCCCCCTGTTGGGTTGAATACTATAAAAAGAAACAAAATAAATACATGTCATAAAAGGATACTTGGCAAGCCATCTGATTTTACTAGTAAGGAAGGAGCTTGGCTATATGTCCAACAAACCTAGAAGCAAGGCGACTTTTACATTTTTTTTTTACTCCAGCTCCCAGAACGTGCTCAGAATCCTGGGAGATGGAGCCCACGAACAGAAAGCAAAACAGGAGTTTCCTATACCTCAATGTGTACCCTGTCTGCATACTTTTCTGAACATTTTGTCTCTGAAAGGAACAGCTCTGGTGTGCCCTGGGAGTAAAAAGGCTACCTGGGAGTTGCAAGGCTTCATGGGACAGGTAGTTCAATGGGAGGCACCCCCATGGAGCCTGGGCATTAAGACTATGGTACCCTTCTCACAAAACCTTACAACTCTGAGGGCAATTTTTCAGACACTAAAGGCTCCACCTCCTGAGGTTCCCCGAAAGCTTTCCTGGTTTGAAAGGGATCCTGAGAGAGCCTTGGAACCTGAAAGGGGCAGAGGTGGCAGTGCAGAGAATAGGAAACTTTTAATTAAAGATACAAGGCCACAGCTGGTGACATCTTTAGTCTTATGCACACAATTGAGTGTCCACAGAATTCCAGCCTATATGTTTTTGTTGCCCTCCCTCAAACAGTTTTGGAACAGGCATTGAGCTCTTGATGACATGCAAGGAGATAACTTCTAAAGATGAATAAAAGCAGATGTGCACAGTACTAAAGAGGCAAAGAAATTTCTGAACATTAAAATGGAGGTGAAGAAACATCACATCATCTCACCTGTGCATTAGCCTGTCCATTGGTGGCACCTTTATTATTGCCAGAGGCGGCAGCAGCACTGGCCTTGCTAATACTAGCCAGGGCCTGACGGGCCTTCTCCCACTCAGGGTTCTCATGCATTGGACCATCCATTCCGTTCTCTCTGGTGCTTCCGTTACCCAAGGTATACTGAGGAACCCTGCAAGCACCACAGTGGGAAGGTATTAGTGACTTCCAAGCTCAGACATTTCTGTTGATTATTAATATAAAATTTACCTTTTGTAATGTTTCCAATTATTGCCTCTCCTTGAGTGAATAACTTTTTTTGCAATTTGCAGCACCAGTTGTTTAGTGAGTAATTTTTGAATAGGATTTGATGTCAGGTCCAAGCTGAGAATCATCCTCTTGCTATTTAACAGCCAGTAAGACATGTGCCACATATGTATCTTATAAGGAGCACCCGAAAGCACCTAAGACCAGTCAAATGAACTGTGCCCAAAAGTGTTACCAGGACGCTCATGACATATTGTAATACGCCAAGGGCTTCAGAATTCAGATTTTAAAGGTGCAGGATAAAGCTGATTCAGCTCTGTGTAACATCAGATATGCTGAATCCAAGGCCGCTAAAGGACCATGACAACAGAAGGTAAGACAGCACCAGACAGTTGACTCACTCTGAGACCAACAGAGACCAATTGAGTTAATTGAAAGATCTTATCATCAGAGGCAGCAAAGGCAGACAGATCAGAAACAATGAGATTCCGCAATGTTTCAGGTTAACTATGACTAACAGCAATGCTAAAATGGATTACATTCAGATGGAGTGTCTGCAAGCCTCTGTTCCAATTGTCCTAGCATCTCTTCTATGTTTGAGCCCATTAATATCTTAATTGCAAGCATAATTATTTGCAAATACAGTGGTGCCCCGCATAGCAACGATAATCCGTTCCGGAAAAATCGTCGCTATCCGGAATCGTCGCTATCTGAAACAAAAAAGCCCACAGGAATGCATTGAAACCCCTTCAATGCGTTCCTGTGGGCTTAAAAGAGGAAAGGGCGAGAAGATCCTCCATGCGGGCGCTATTTTTGCTGCCTGGTAAGCGAGGAAAGGGCGTGAAAACACTGCTGGTGGCCATTTTTTTACCTGGTGGCCATTTTGGAACTGCCGATCAGCTGTTTTTAAAATATCGTTATGTGAAAATCGGTAAGCGAAACGCTTACCGATCATCGCAAAGTGATGTTTTACCATCTAAAACATCACAATGTTATCGCTTTTGCGATCGCAAAAACCTCATCGCTATTTCATTGTGAAACGAATCGCTCGTTATGGGGGGCACCACTGTAAACATATACAACATACATCAGCATTTGTTTTGAGCAATATGATCGCTTTTGCGATGGCAAAAACCTGATCGCTATGTGGATTCATCGTTCAACGAATCGCTCGTTATGGGGGGCACCACTGTAAACATATACAACATACATCAGCATTTGTTTTGTTTTAATGGTACCTCTTTTTTAGCTTTGTAATTTTATCAATAAAAGCTATTAGTCAAGTTGCATACTCAAGTGTCTTTGGTGATTAGCGATAATCTACTGCCCACCTAACCTCATTCCAAATATCAGATTTTGTAGTGGTCCTACTTGATTCCTGGACACAATTCTTATTCACCAAAGCTACCCCTTTGAACTAGAGATAGGAGTTTTGTATCTAATCATAGAAAAATACAAACCCACTGGCATAGGTGGCCGACCCAGTTACCTCCTGTCCCCAGAGCCCGTCAGTCCATTTACAGTACAGCATGCATGGCTGGCATCATCATCAGTACACCAACTGTGGCAGTAGCTGAGCTTCCGCAGCCCTGTCTCCCTGCTTGCCCCACCACCAATGTACCCTCCAATGTTAAGTCTCGCTGGGCAGTGTTCCACCTTTCGCATGTGCAGCTTCGCCCCTGTGTGCATGACTCCGCCCCCACACGCTGGGTTCCGTTGCCACTGGAACCCAATGTGACCACTGTGTGGTGTGGAGGCAGTGTTCCACCTTTCGCATGTGCAGCTTCGCCCGTGTGTGTGACTCCGCCCCCCCACACGCTGGGTTCCGTTGCCACTGGAACCCAATGTGACCACTGTGTGGAGGGAGACCGCTGCGCAGATGGAAGCAGAGTCATGTGTGCACGCATGAACACCCAGCTTAGGGGGAACCTTGTCCACTGCTCTGCAGCTGAGCATCATGTGCCCACGCATGCACACCCAGCTTAGCGGGAACCTTGTCCACTGCTCTGCAGCTGAGCAGGAAGATTCGTCCTCTTGCCCCCTTGCCAGAGTGGCTGGGTGAGCAGGGAGATGGGGCTGCAGCAGCCAGGCTACTGCCATGATTGGCGTGCTGATGATGCTGGCCATGCGCTGTAAGTGGACTGGCAGGTTCTGGGGGCAGGAGGTAATCAGGCCAGCCACTTGTGCTGCCAAGGCTTCGTATTCATTTATGAACACGAAATCCCCATCTCTAATTTGGACATTTTATCAGACAAAAGAGATTTGGTTAGTGCATTTGCAAATTCTTATTGAATCAAGACCATACATTCTTAAAACATTCTCCTTGTTAGCAAATCCCCACCCCCAACAAACCCTGAATCTTCAGTAGGATCACTGCTTCTACTACCTACCAAAACAAATTAGTTAACTGCTATTGTGGAAGCTTTCAAGTTCCAAAATCAGTAGACCACAGAAGGTTTACTAACAAGATATAGAGTTTAACAAAAGGGGAACTCCCTACTCCTTGATATCAACAAGCTAAAATGACTGGTAACCCTGATATTTGACTGGTCATTTGCCAAGCTGGCAACCCAGAAATTTCAAGGCTTTTATTCATAACAAGGACGTGGTGGCGCTGTGGGCTAAACCGCAGAAGCCTGTGCTGCAGTGCAGGGAGACTAGAAATTTCAAGGCTTTTATTCATAGCAACATAATCCATTTTCCATTTAGAAACACCTTACTGTTGAGAGGAAAAAAAGGGCAAACCATCATCTTTTGAGAGGGGAGATGATGTTAATCTATTACAAGATTTTTAATAATACGTAGATCTATTACAACATAGTATTTTGGAGGACTTTAAAGAATTATCTATTTATTGTAGTATAAGTTTTAACGAGGTAAGTCCGCTTTAACATGATGTGAACTCTATTCCACAAAATCTCATGCTATGATAAAACTACGTAGTATACGTTTTAATGAGGTAAGTCCGCTTCAACATGATGTGAATTCTATTCCACAAAATCTCATGCTATGATAAAACTACGTATTACGTTTTTTACCAGCTGGTTTTTCACATATACATAACAGATAACCAGGATGCAGTTTACTGAAATCTGGCTTGTTGTGCTGGAACACATCCCCACAATCAAATATTTGTCAGGCAGCTTCAGATCATAATCCAAAACCATAGTTTTAGTCAATCTGTTACAACCCATGTGTTTAAACTAGGGACCACATAAACCGTTGCAGCAGTTCCATCGGCTGCCAGTTGGTTTCTGGGCACAATTTAAAGTGCAGGTTTTAATCTATAATACCCTAAACAGCTTGAGTCTAAAATAATCTCAAGAACCACATCTCCCTTTTTGAGCCTGCCCATGGGAGGCCTTTCTCAGTGTCCCACCACTTTCACAGGTGCGGTTGGTGGGAACAAGGGAGGAACTCTTTTGTGCTGTTGCACCCAGACTCTGGAACTGCCTCCCACAGGTGGCCACGCTGGCCCCATCTTTGCTGTCCTTCTGCAAACAGATGAAGACCTTTTTGCAGACAAGCTTTTCTTTAGTAACTGGATGTTTGAGAGGAGTTTTTAATGGAATGTTATGACCTGTTGGTTTAAATGTTTTTGGTACTGATTTTATTTACCATTTTTGTGATATTTGTTCGATTCTTTTAAAATATTTGTACATGTACTGTTTATGAATTTTAAATATTGTCTTTTGATTATGTAAGTCGCCTAGGTTGTTTTTAAGGAGAAAGGTAGGGCAGAAATATTCTAAATAAATAAATGGATGAAATAATTATTATGTATGAACCCACAATAGTGTCTTGATCCTGATTTGTTAACAAAAAGCATGGGAGAGAAACAGAATAGAGAAAATGAACTGTGGTTTGTTTGATTGTCTTCAGCAAAATTCATGCACATAAAGTGTGCTTCACAGAAACTGTGGTTATTATGATATGCAGGCAACTTTAACATTCAAGAGTTTTTCTCTTTTTAAGTTTAACTGATTGGTACATTTATTTATTTCTCTGTTGTTCTGATGTTTGTTATGATTTAATGTTGTTACTGATGTTTTATTTTGTTGTGAACTGCCCAGAGTGACCTTAATAGTCAGATGGAAGGTATATAAATTGAGATATAAGAAGCTCATATTCATTGTTACGTTTCTATGTTTCACCATGCAACTGATCAACGGTTTCTTATTCTTGTGTGTTAATACTTTGTACCTACTTCTCCCTTCCACTCCTTTTTTCTTGTACATTACATCAGTTCATAAGTCTGATGGGCTGGCCTGCCTCCTTTTGCTCCTGGTTTTTCACATAACTTTGAAAGATAAACCTTGTATGAAAGGCAAGATTAAAATAACATATTAAACTTTTTCTCTCCCCCCTTCCTATTTTAGACTTTTTAGTCACTTTGCATCCTAGAGACAGAATGCATCCTAAAATAATTATAAATATATATGTCACAGTTCTCAAGAGAGCTTACACACAAAAGAAATTCAGTACTACAAACTTGGAAAAAAGCCCAAAAAATCAGGAGAATGATTTTTATCACTGAACTATAAGTAGATTATTCTACTTGAACAAAGTACAAATAAACTATTCTACTGAACAACATGATATAATCAAAACTTTATTTTTAGTTGTCCAAGGGCAGCTCTATTCTTCAGGGGTGACAAATCAAAAAAAAAAAATACAATACTCACTAACATTTGATGATTAAAGAAGCAGAGGCCTGAAAACAGACCTGTCAAATGTCTCCTCTTGAATACCTTGGTGGTCAACAGAGCAACAGTAACAGGTTGGTCATATCCACAGTATTATGACATCACCAGCTGAAATGCTGACCTCAACCTGAGCAGTCTCAAAACAATGCTTAGCTTTAAATGTGTTTTCCTTACAACTTCCAACTGCCGAACAGTAGAATCTTTGCTAACATCCACATTTTCCTATGGTATCACAGGTAACAAACATTCTTACCTAGATCGGTATTTCAACTCCAGAAATAGGCTTTTCTGCACAATTCATAGAGAACTAGACCTCTGTGAATTCGACCACTCTCACATGAGGAACTAAAAAATCCCTAAATTTCACTCTCTTGCCATTTACATTTTTTAATAGAGAGGAGGAAATACAACAAAAACGACCCCAACAAACTGAGTGTGTTTAGCCAGTGAGCTACTTTTTCATCCCAGCCAATATAAGGTATCAAGACATAAAAATAACCATGCTATATTTTACAGTAAAGTGCGATGACAAGAAGCAGAAGTGACATACTTTAGATAGCAGTGCACAGGCCTCACTAGAGGTTGGAATTCTTAGTGGGTTCAGGGAATACTAAGCCTGGTAACCTCAAAATCAATCCATATATTTATCTCCAGAACTTCAGAATTCCCATGGGGGCAGAAAATATCTCAGATATCACTCAATGCAATTTTTGCAATCTGACTGAAAGGTTAAGAAACTGTTGCACTGATCATCCCAGATATAACCTTTGTGCACTAAACAAAGGTGGACACAAGAAATAAAATCAAGAGATCCGGACTTACAGGAATATGTTTGAGTCAAACTCCAGCTGCCCAATAAAGGATGTGTGGAACTAGATCGGTTTTCAATGCATTATAGGTCAATGGAGACTTGACCTACAGACTTTTTGACTTGAGAACCGCCTTCCAATATGGATTAAGTTCTCAAGTCAAGACCCACTGTATTGTAGTATACGTTTTAATGAGGTAAGTCCGCTTCAACATGATGTGAATTCTATTCCACAAAATCTCATGCTATGATAAAACTATTACGTTTTTTACCAGCTGGTTTTTCACATATACATAACAGATAACCAGGATGCAGTTTACTGAAACCTGGCTTGTTGTGCTGGAACACATCCCCACAATCAAATATTTGTCAGGCAGCTTCAGATCATAATCCAAAACCATAGTTTTAGTCAATCTGTTACAACCCATGTGTTTAAACTAGGGACCACATAAACCGTTGCAGCAGTTCCATCGGCTGCCAGTTGGTTTCTGGGCACAATTTAAAGTGCAGGTTTTAACCTATAATACCCTAAACAGCTTGAGTCTAAAATAATCTCAAGAACCACATCTCCCTTTTTGAGCCTGCCCATGGGAGGCCTTTCTCAGTGTCCCACCACTTTCACAGGTGCGGTTGGTGGGAACAAGGGAGGAACTCTTTTGTGCTGTTGCACCCAGACTCTGGAACTGCCTCCCACAGGTGGCCACGCTGGCCCCATCTTTGCTGTCTTTCTGCAAACAGATGAAGACCTTTTTGCAGACAAGCTTTTCTTTAGTAACTGGATGTTTGAGAGGAGTTTTTAATGGAATGTTATGACCTGTTGGTTTAAATGTTTTTGGTACTGATTTTATTTACCATTTTTGTGATATTTGTTCGATTCTTTTAAAATATTTGTACATGTACTGTTTATAAATTTTAAATATTGTCTTTTGATTATGTAAGTCGCCTAGGTTGTTTTTAAGGAGAAAGGTAGGGCAGAAATATTCTAAATAAATAAATGGATGAAATAATTATTATGTATGAACCCACAATAGTGTCTTGATCCTGATTTGTTAACAAAAAGCATGGGAGAGAAACAGAATAGAGAAAATGAACTGTGGTTTGTTTGATTGTCTTCAGCAAAATTCATGCACATAAAGTGTGCTTCACAGAAACTGTGGTTATTATGATATGCAGGCAACTTTAACATTCAAGAGTTTTTCTCTTTTTAAGTTTAACTGATTGGTACATTTATTTATTTCTCTGTTGTTCTGATGTTTGTTATGATTTAATGTTGTTACTGATGTTTTATTTTGTTGTGAACTGCCCAGAGTGACCTTAATAGTCAGATGGAAGGTATATAAATTGAGATATAAGAAGCTCATATTCATTGTTACGTTTCTATGTTTCACCATGCAACTGATCAACGGTTTCTTATTCTTGTGTGTTAATACTTTGTACCTACTTCTCCCTTCCACTCCTTTTTTCTTGTACATTACATCAGTTCATAAGTCTGATGGGCTGGCCTGCCTCCTTTTGCTCCTGGTTTTTCACATAACTTTGAAAGATAAACCTTGTATGAAAGGCAAGATTAAAATAACATATTAAACTTTTTCTCTTCCCCCTTCCTATTTTAGACTTTTTAGTCACTTTGCATCCTAGAGACAGAATGCATCCTAAAATAATTATAAATATATATGTCACAGTTCTCAAGAGAGCTTACACACAAAAGAAATTCAGTACTACAAACTTGGAAAAAACCCAAAAAATCAGGAGAATGATTTTTATCACTGAACTATAAGTAGATTATTCTACTTGAACAAAGTACAAATAAACTATTCTACTGAACAACATGATATAATCAAAACTTTATTTTTAGTTGTCCAAGGGCAGCTCTATTCTTCAGGGGTGACAAATCAAAAAAAAAAAAATACAATACTCACTAACATTTGATGATTAAAGAAGCAGAGGCCTGAAAACAGACCTGTCAAATGTCTCCTCTTGAATACCTTGGTGGTCAACAGAGCAACAGTAACAGGTTGGTCATATCCACAGTATTATGACATCACCAGCTGAAATGCTGACCTCAACCTGAGCAGTCTCAAAACAATGCTTAGCTTTAAATGTGTTTTCCTTACAACTTCCAACTGCCGAACAGTAGAATCTTTGCTAACATCCACATTTTCCTATGGTATCACAGGTAACAAACATTCTTACCTAGATCGGTATTTCAACTCCAGAAATAGGCTTTTCTGCACAATTCATAGAGAACTAGACCTCTGTGAATTCGACCACTCTCACATGAGGAACTAAAAAATCCCTAAATTTCACTCTCTTGCCATTTACATTTTTTAATAGAGAGGAGGAAATACAACAAAAACGACCCCAACAAACTGAGTGTGTTTAGCCAGTGAGCTACTTTTTCATCCCAGCCAATATAAGGTATCAAGACATAAAAATAACCATGCTATATTTTACAGTAAAGTGCGATGACAAGAAGCAGAAGTGACATACTTTAGATAGCAGTGCACAGGCCTCACTAGAGGTTGGAATTCTTAGTGGGTTCAGGGAATACTAAGCCTGGTAACCTCAAAATCAATCCATATATTTATCTCCAGAACTTCAGAATTCCCATGGGGGCAGAAAATATCTCAGATATCACTCAATGCAATTTTTGCAATCTGACTGAAAGGTTAAGAAACTGTTGCACTGATCATCCCAGATATAACCTTTGTGCACTAAACAAAGGTGGACACAAGAAATAAAATCAAGAGATCCGGACTTACAGGAATATGTTTGAGTCAAACTCCAGCTGCCCAATAAAGGATGTGTGGAACTAGATAACCTGATTTCTCAGATACTCTCTTGTGGGCTCAAGTACAATATCCTGAGTCTCAGATGGCTGTGACAACCACAAACCTTCAATAATATATAAGATGTTCATCCTTGAAGAAACAAAACCTAACTTCTAGTCTCCCATCAACTTCTCTGCTCTGCAAAATTAACTAATCATAGTAAAACCAACCTAACTTTTCCCCTCTGTCTGATGCTAGGTAAGTCAAAGCCAAACAAGAATTTTGGACACCTACATTTTATTGTCAGAGGCAATGGCATTTGATTTATGAACCTGGTCTAGTTATTCTACATTATTCAGTATCAATTAGTAGCAGGTACCTAGTCATTACAGATTAAAAAGGTGTGATTCCAATAGAGAATATATTATGCCAGGACCTATAAGACCTAGGTTCAAATCATATCAGCCAAACTAATATAGCATTAACAAAAACAATGCGGTTATGAACAAAACCATTAATAACTAATAATAAGTAGATCCAAGAAAGAATGAAAGTGTCAACTATATATTGAAAACTGAATATTATCTGAAAAACTAGAACGGTCATTTTATTTTGAAACCCTACTCATTCTCCAGTTTATACTAATGTTCCAGGAATCCTGAGAAAAAAATACAAAGCACTCCTGATTAGGCTATGAAATGGGCAGTGTGTGATAAGGAATCCTCAAAGAATCTATACTGATGTAATAATGTGAACTTATTTTAAGAGCTACATGAATCTCACAATAAGTAGCTCACTCCTCTGTCCATTGGTCCTATGAATTTCCCATAAAATGTCAACATCATAATCTAGTTGATTTAGGTAGTTAACATAGTTATGTCTACCATCCCTCATTTCCACTTTTAAACCTGAGCAATTATCAGCTGTGACCAATGCAAAGAGCAACCCTCTGGCTCCTGCAACAAGTTTCTTTTTTAAAAATAGCTGGTGCCACATCAACTTCACAGAAGAATGCTCACACTTAAAACGTGGGAGATAAGATGTCTCCCAAAAGGGAACATTATGCTCTACTTCAGACAGCCCCCTCTCTCCCTCCCATTAAAAGAAAATACTGCAATCACCATTCTGAGGCACGCTGGTCTCCAATATTGGCAGTCATCTTCGTGTCGATGGAACTGGGAACTGTCGATGCCAAATGGCTGGGAGGGCTCTAAGGGGCAACCCTTTCTCGAGAAGCCTGCTTTCTTCTTCCGCAGGTAGAGGCCAAACAAAGGAAGTTAACCGGCCACCATGAACATCTCACTCTGGGAAACAAACTGCAGTGCCACCTCGTGGGATCATCCTTGACACATCTTCAGATCCCCACTTCCTGGGTGGCCCCTTTTCACCCAGCGCAGTAGAAACTCAGGATCTTAAGAAACTAAACTCCTAGACAGTGCAGGCAATTCCAGTCAGGGGTTTCCTCCCTGAATTCCTTTGAAGGTGAAAACCTTGAGCCACCAGCTGCTCAATACTCTAGCCACCCCGCCCCCTTCCTACGGCCTTGTAACTTCCTCACGCACGGTTTCTCCCTACCACTGAGCAGGTCCTTTTCTCCTATTAAAAAGACCCTCTTCTAAGTATATACAGACCTGATTCCCCCCCTTCTCCTGACGTACCAGGTTCACCAAAAACACTCCTCCTCTGATTTACTACGACCCTCCCCCCCCACGGCCCCAGCCACCCACCCTTGCCTTNTTCTTCCCCTTCAAACGCCGCTTCGTTGCCCCCACCACCCCCCAAAAACACTCCGGCTCTCCTCTCCCTCGTCCTGGCTCCTCCGCGACTGGTAAGGGCTCCGCCGCGGCCTACTTACATCCGGGTCTTCCTGCTCCCCTCGCCCCCTCTCCCTCCCTCTTTTTCCCTCAGCCTAATGAAATCGAGCGAGCAACTCTCTCAGCTTCAGCCCCACCGCGGCTGCTGCGGCGGCGACGGGACCGCAGTTTAGGGCGCCGCAATCTGAAGCAGGGCACGCCGTGGGTCGGCCGAATCCCACCCACTGGCACAGGGCGAACCAGAACAGACGCCTCTCCCGCCTTCCAAGATGGCGGCCGACCACTTTTCTCTGCCTAACAAGCCTTCCCCGTCTGGTTCCAGCCAGTCTCCTCCCTTCCTTCCGGTCGCGCGGCGGCGGAGTGAGGTCAGAATGGGAGGTGGGGGAAGAGAGGAGACGCGTGGGCTGGCGCCATGACGTCATAGAGGGGGACGGCACAAGACAGCTATGCCATTGGATGCTGTATCTGTCCCTCAAATTCTGCAAGGGAGCGGCGTGGAGTCAACAGCAAGTGGTTAGGTGGCTTGGGTCCAAGCTGTCTCAAGGTCCGGGTCTCCCTTTATGAGCCTGCTCAGGCGCTAAGATCACCCGGAGAGGCCTTTCTCTCGATCTCACCACCTTCTCAGGGCCACTTGGTGGGGACACAGGAGAGGGCCTCCTCTGTCGCTGCCCCCAGAGTTTGGAACTCCCTCCCACAGGAAGTCAGGCTGACCCCATCTGGGCTGGCATTCCACAAGACCTTCCTCTTCGGGCAGGCTTTCCCTTAATGATTGGTGGTCTGAGAGGAGTTTTTAAATAGGTGGCTGTGCCTTACTGCTTTTGGTGTTGTTTATGGTTACTGTGTTTTAGTGTCCCATTTGTTTTATCCTTTATATACTGTTTTTACCTTGAGATACTGCCTTTTAGTGATGGAAACTCCCTGGGGTCTTTTTTAAGGATAAAGGCGGGGTAAAAATATTTTAAATTAATAGTAGAGGCAGAGAGCCCTGTAGTTAGTATTGGATTGCAAGGTGAGACTCGGCTGTGGTAGTTTCAGGTCTTTGTTGGGTGGCAAAACATGCCATTTGAACTTAAGTCGGTCATTATGAATAACCCAACATTGAGTCATTGGATGTTGTTGCGACTACAGCACCCAGTATTGAGTGCCACTGGCTAAGTTGCCAGGGATAATGGGAATGATAATCAGACACCTTTGCCAACCTAAAATTGTTAGCATTTGGGGGTTTGTTTGAGGATGATGAGCATGTACGTTGCCTTTGGAGGAAGGCTAGGGTCAAACTGAATTTTGTTTGGCCACAATTCAGTTTAATCTGGAATTCAGTTTCATGCGCTGTGTGATCACGGAGGAATAGAGTGCACCAGTGCACCAAACCACTCAACGATCACTCCAAAATGCAGTCTTTCCCCCCATATCTTATCACTCTTAATTAAACTTCAATAGATCTTGAACTTAGGCAGATTAAGGGTGCAAGCTGATGATGGTTTACCTTGCATTTTGGACCGCTTCAGGAATGGGCGGGTTTGCTTCTTTTTCAGGGGGCCACATCATGTCTAGCCAATCTCAAATCAGGCAGGCCCTCTTCCATGGCTATCTGCATCTTTTGAGGTTCTCTGCAGAGGGCTGGCATAAAGTTTCTTTGTCATCAACCAACCCAAATCCATCTACTGTATTCTACAGTGTTTCCTACCCCTTCTCTAGAGTCTAGAGGAAAGTCCCTGGAACATGGGGAATTCTTATCAGCTGCCTAGGACTGAAAACAGGCTACAATTTGTAACACCCCCACATTTGTCAATGATGATGCTACCTTTGTTTGGATGTGTGAAAAAACAACCATGAGCTATTTTGTGAGACAAACATGGCTGAAAATGAGGCTATGAATGTAATTAATGAAGTACCTTAGTGAGGATTTTGCTGATGACCACCAGTCTTAATGGACGTATTTGCACATGTGCCATTTCCATCTCTAAAGGCAACAAGTGGCACTCCAGACACTGGACTGCTGCCCACACCAGCCCTAACCTGCATGGTCAATGCTCAGTCCAGCAACGCTTGGAGGGTGTCCAGTGGCTTAGAGAAAGACAAAAAGTAGCAGACAGTGGTGCCAAAAAGGATCCTATTAAGGGTGTTTTGTTAAAGCCCATAAACAACTTATGATCTGAGCTGAGGGACAGTGGCTCCTAGAATTTTTTGGGATGAGGCACTTTCCACAAGGTGGGATGAATCTATGCCTCGCTTCCCATGCCACCAGTGCCCAGTCCAGCCTCCCCACAAAACTTGTGCCCCTTCCAATCCACAAGCTGCTTACTCTTGTAAGGAAAATGAGCTTCCCTCATGCACAGCTTTGGGGAGCATTAGCATCTTGCATCTTTGGTCAGTTGCCAGAACCTGCAAATGCCTACTCTATATGTGTTATGTGCTGTCATGTTGTATCTGGTTTACAATGACCATAATAGGGTTAGTGCCACCACAGTTGAGTTTCCATGACTAAGCAAGGATTTAAACCAGATCTCCTTAGAACTAGTCCAACACTCTATCAAAAGAGTGCATTACATCACGCTGGAAAGAGTGCATTACATCACACTGGTTCTCATGCATTACATCACACTGGTTCTCATCCCCTATTATTAGCAAAACAATACGAACCTTCTGGTGCTGCCAGGTGGCTGGATCAACCCCTCAACATACACACAGTTTCCCATACTGCCCCTAAACCTACCGTAGTAGCACTGCCACTGGAGCTGGTAAGCCTACCAGGATCTACTTGTAGAAGAGGGAACACACCACAAAACACTTTGCTCAGCCCCTGCTCAATCCAGAAGTATTTATAGTTTAAGGCTGGGACAAAGTAGAGAGATGGATTCCCAATTGTGTGTAGTGGTTAGAGTGATGGACCAGGACACTGGAGAACAGGGTTCAAATCCCCACCCAGCCCTGGAAACTCACTGGGAAATGGAATTGAGAAAACCACTCCTGAAATATCTCACTTATCTTGGAAACCCTGTTAGGGTTATTGTAAATTGGTTCTGACTTGACAGCACCGAACACACACAAGGTGGAGATATAGTTCACATTTTTGACCACTTGTGGCGTGCTCCAGGATGAGCTAGTTTCTGGCTATCAGACAACATAAAGGAGGTTGGGAAGCCAGGTCAGTCCTGCTGTGTGTGCAATCTGGACTTTTTTGGTCCAGTGGTAAGGCTACTTTTCTTTCTTTCTTTTTTTTTTTCCTTTTATTTGACTAGACCATTTCCTGTATGTATGAAAGGATCACTTATGGGAGAACGCTCCCAATGAAGCAAACCTTTCCATGTGATCAGACATGATCCTTTACTTCTGTTCAATTGCACCCTAATTCTGAAGAAACTGGAACTGAGACAGTGGGGAAGAGGTCATGTGCAACAGTGTAAAATGGGAAGGACCACAGTGAACAAGATATACAGTACTCTTAATCAGAAGGACTGAAGCAAGGGATCCTGCAGTGCAGGAGTGAGATTATATGTAATAGTCTTGTCTCCACTGGAAGCAAAGGAGAATAATTATCTGAGCCGTAGCAACAGCGAGATAGTGATCTTGTGCTTTTTGCTGTGTCTCTAAATTTAGCTGTATTAAATCACGGGAAGAGAGCAGGAGGGAGGAACAGCTGATGCAGAGCGCCTCTGCCATCTCCCAACAGATTTTCTAAAAACATTGCTTTATATATGGATACTTTGCCAAATGCTGAGGTGTGGCTGACAAGGAGGTAGAATAATTGTTGTTTATCCAGCAGGAAATTGAAATGAAGACTTGAATAATTCAAGTTCTCTGTTTCTGAATCTGCATTTGCAAATCTACATTTTAATTCACTGGTCTACGGTCGCAGACTGGTAAATTTTGAGTTGATTCACATTTCTAGAATTGCAGATCTGAGTTCTTTTTGCACCTGCCCTCATCTAGCCCCTTCAGGTGGATAGTGCTGATGGAAAAGGAGTTACAAAGTCTAACTGAATTTTTAGATTGTAAACCACATTTAAACAAGTGTAGGCTGTGTTTTTTTTTGGGGGGGGGTAGTTTTCTTTGCTTTAGTAAAATCCCATAACTTGCTGAAGTACTCCATGACTACCAACCCAAACGTATGCATGAACACACACACAAAATGAAAGTTAAACACTGTATAAAATAAAGTTTCCCTTTTATTTTAAACTGGGCAAGTTCCAAATGCTTGTTAGTGTTGGGGGGGCTCTAATGAGGAGCAAGGAAGCTGGTGGGGAGTAGGGGTGACTTTGGGCCCCTGTTGGACTCCCCTCTTCCCTCAAATGTCCCTGTGGGACCCAGTGGTGGTCCTCACCTTTCTGGTATGCCCACTGTAAGAACATGGAACAGGAACAAGTCACTGGCTGGTGGCTTTAGTTGTTTTGTATTTCAAGTTTAGGGCGCCACCTTTTCTCTCCCTCATCCTTTTGCTCTTTTGATCTATCCTTTCTTTCCAGCATCCGCTCCATCATTACACTCATTCATTGGCTCTCTCACACGCTTCTTTGTATACAAACTTAGATTCATTCGCTCAACATTTTAAATATCCTTATCCCACACCAGCTGTTTTCTTCCGTTTCTTCACTCCTTTACCTACTTTTGTCTCTTTTGCCTTTTTTGTGTGTGTGGCTCAGCCTTGTCTTATTGCTCAGCCGTACCTGTTCATATTACTTCCCCCCCCCAGATCCCCTTTCCTTTGCCTTTTCTTACTCCTCAATCCTGCTTCTGTTAATATCCTTTACCTCCCCTAAGGGATAATAACCTGCCCCCTTCCTCTTTCTTTCTCTTAAAGGGCAGGTAAAAGAAATGAGTGAAGAAAAGATCCAGGTGAAGAGGCGGAGGGGGGGCACACAGTGACAGAGCTCATTTCGGTCGAGCTCCATTAAGAGGTGGGGAGGCGGGGTCTGCTCTGTGTTAGTTAGATGGTGTGGATGTAGGTTGGGGTCTTCTGGGGGTGCATCTAGGACAGGAATCCAGTCCGGTAGGGGAGGTCCACTTCTTCGCTAGCACCGACGTAAGACGCTCGCATGCTGGGGGAATACTAGGGGATGACATATAGAGACGAGTGGGGATGTTAATATCCAAAAGATATATCACAATAGCAATAGGGAGAGAAGACTCTGTTTCATCATTTTTCATCCACTGGCAAAGGCACGTGGCAGCTTATTACTGTCTTGAGGCAGAGAAGAAATGAGCAGCTTGTGAGCAATGACACAGCCTGCACATTTCTCCAGCATGCACATTCTGTTTGAAATATTACTAACAATTGCTGCTAGATTACTGGGATTGTGCATCTTATCAATAGGTTGAAATGTTGCACTGCTGTCTTGTTTGTATAGTCTGTGTGTCTGGAACACATAGTCAAAAAAGCTGTGGGCAGTTCGTTATCCTCTAGGACAGCAGCTGGATTTCTGTGTGTGTAAAAGCTAGCTTTATCATTTTACTGTAGTGCACATGCTTGAACTGTATAGCACATCATAAGTATGAAACAGATTGGTGAACATGGCTCAAGCACATCATATAACATACTAGACTGCTTCTGCACCCATTTTGATGAGTAAAAAGAGGTTAGAAATGAGAGCAACATGCCATTGCCACTTGTGAAGTTGCTCTTACTTCTCCTGGGCAGCCCATTCACCATACACTAAAGCCTAAGAACAAACTTAGACCATCTTGCCCATACCATCAGCAAGAGGAGTAAACAGAAAGATTTGTTATTAGCTCCACTTCCACCACAGTACAGTGGTACCTCTCAAGACGACGACCCCACTAAATGACGAATCTGCATAACGATGACTTTTTTGCAATCGCTATAGTGATTCGCAAGTCATTCCAATGGGGGATTTTCACTGGATGTTGATTAGGTCTGTGCTTCACGAACTGTTTGTTCACAAGATGACAATTTTTTCTGCTGATCGTTGGCTTCGCAAAATGGCCGCCCTGTGTTTTCCAGCCCCATGCTTCGCAGGGCAGCCATTTTTATAGCTGATCGGCACTCACAAAATGGCTTCCCTATGGGCGATCTTCCCTGGACGACGAGGTGTTTTCCCCATTGGAACGCATTAAACCGGGTTTCAATGCATTCCAATGGGGAAAGGGTTTTCGCATGGCGACGATTTTGCTAAACAGCTATTTCAATGGGACGGATTATTGTCGTCATACGGTGTACCACTGTATCAGCTTTGGGAACCTGGCAATCCTACACATTGACCATATATTTTGGCTCACCAGATTTCTGACAGAAATTGGTTCCTGTTCCTATAGCCATCTAGGGCCAAAAAAAGTATAATGAGCTGTCAAGGAGTAATCACATTGTAGCATATACTTGGTGCACTACATATGGCTTCTGAGCAAGGAGGAGTCACTCTCCATGCCACTAACTTACCGATGGGGGTGGGGAATGACGATCGATGAGGGGGACACTCTCAAATCGAGGACTGCCACTGTACGAAGCGCTTTGACTCCTGCAAGCAATATTGACAAAGAAGCTGAAAATTCATCCCCCCCGCCCAATTCTACTATCCCACATTTGGAAGGTCAGACCACATCCTAACATCACAGAGATACTTGAAATCTCTGCCCTGCCAGTCATTCAAAGGTCCCAAGATAGCCTCTCCAGAGATCTTTGATAGTAACATTCTTGGACCAGTATCCTGTTGGGATCTGCAATTGCAGAAGGGCGATCATGCAAGTGATATTAGCTATTTTGCCGGCTGTCTATTGCAGACCCAGCTTTGCTCTGGTTGCACAATCTGCTGCCTGGATGATAGCTTGCAAACTGTTCGTGCAATTGCCCCTTCCATGTGCAATTGTAACAGTGAGCAGGATTTTGGCTTTAGTCTATTTTGGATTACATCACAGGAAGCCGTAAACCAAATAATGGATCCTGTGTATACCAAGGTGTGAATGATACTTTGCTGGACTCTGGTGTAGTGAAGGAGTTGGATACATGCCCATTTACACATTTAAGATTTTTTAAAAGGTACCTATGGAGGTCCATGTGTAAAAAAACAAAATCGAGTATTTGGCAGGATGGGAATGCCAGGGAAGTGTGCTGATAAGAGTTCTCCAGGACTTATCTTCAGGCTGGGTAATACAAAAAAGTAGGGATGTCCATCTATTCCATTATACATTGCAAGTCCAACATGATGCCTGCACATTCACCAACCAACATTCCCCTGAGTCTACAATCTCCATCTTGGGACCAATCTTAATTGCAGGCCTAGGGCCTACAACATCTAGCATGGTGCAGGAGGGGGGACTTTATTAGACTCCATCTCCTGCTTTTTTGATGCCGCCTAATCTGACAAAGACTTCTGGACAACTTAAAAGCTTGCACCCCTTTTAGCATTTCAGTTGGTCCTCATATGGGTACTGATCCCTGCAGAATTCAAACTTAAGTAAAAGTCAGATGTGAGAGCTCTGCACATGAGGGCTGTGTTTGCAGTGGTTTGTTTAGTGTGATTTGTCCTTTCCCCAAAAAGAGAGAGGGAAGATCAAGGAAATCTTGTTCTACATGTGCAGAGAGACCCCCACCCAAAGGTCTTGCGCTGAAGGATAGCTTGAGTGTAGAAGCAAGGGTGAGGGCAAACATCTGCTCCTCCACTATGAAAAGAGAATTCACAGTAGATGTATATGTATCAGTGGGCCCTAAGCTAAACTTAGTCCCATTCATCTTTTTGAGCCAGCATTGGACCACATTCTGAATCTTGTATCAAAAGCTAGGGTAGTGAAGGGGAACGAAATCACACACAGAAGAGTGGAAAATAAGTCATAGTTTTGGGGCCAGTGGTAGTTCATGTTCACTGAGGTTGGAGGGTGGACTCACTTGTTTGCTATCCAGCCTGCTCCCAAGCAAAGTCTATCCATACCTTATGCCTCCCCCCTCCCACTCTTCTGGTTGGAAGGGGGTGCTGAGAGTTAGGAGGGCAGTGTCCCATCTGCCCAAGCACCAGGGCCAGCTCTTTGAGGGATTCGAGAAAATAGTCTTAAATTCCACATGTTCAGGTGACAGAATGAACAGCAACTCAGCAGGCTTACAAAAGTTGGCCCTCTAGATTACAACTCCTACTATTCTTGCTACCATGCTAGCTGAGGATGATTAACCTTCCACATCTATAGATTTCTCACTTCAGAAAGTATTCGTTAAAGGGACCAAAATTGCTAGACTGTAATTCTTGGAAAGCATCTCTGCTTTGGCATGTGGAAAGGCCTTATCTTGGGATAGATGGACTGATGGCTGGCCTGGACTCATATTGCTGTATAGTGCTAAGGGACAGGAAAACTAATCCAAATTAGTTTTCAGCTACCTGTCATGGGAACAAGGTAGGAATGGGAACGGATAAGTGAGACACAGAAGGACAGAGAAGTGAAGAATAAAAGAATTGATGATTCCCACCCCATGAAAAATTCCCTCTAGTGGGACTAGGGATTATGGTGATAAAGGAAATGCAAAATAGTGCATAATAAATACTGATTTGGTGAACAGCAAAGCAGAGACATGGAAAGTAACTGCCTCTGTGCAGGTAATTCTGGGATACTTAAATTTGGTGGATCCCAGAAATAAGTACATAGATAAATTTGTTGTGATGACTGCATCCCTTAGTTCTCAGCAGAGACAGAGCAGGATTGCCCCTGTGCAGAGGAGACTAAGGGTGCTTCCAACCACGCCATTTTTAGTGGCATGGCTGTCTTCTCTCTCTCTCTCTCTCATGGGATTTCATGGAGATCCAGATGATGACATCTTCTGTGTTTCCTCACTGAGTCTTTCATTTCTTTCTTTCCTCTACAAAAAATGTATTAAGCAGGAAAGAGGAAAATAACACCACACTGTGTTTAGACTGGGTTACTAGCAGTCCTCCATATGGGAAACTTAAAAAAAAAAGTAAGAGAGGAACACCAAAGACTTCACATGAGCCTTTAAGGGCTGAAGTAATTCATTTGTTCCTCGGACACACCTTCACTGATCTAAAAATTTACAGAGCAAGGTGTGGGATGAATATCTCCTGAGCTACCTGGAGGCCCTTAGATTGGCAAGAATCTTATTACCTAGGTATAGGGGCTGTGAAACAGAATTTGGGGAAGATACTCTTTTGGACTATGATTCCCAGCTAACACAACCGCGGAAGGATTATGGGAATTATAGCTCCAAATAAATAACTTCTCCAAGCTAAGACATTTAAAACCCAAGCTCTACATTCACCCAGCATTTGAGCAGTGAATTTGCGTTCACACTTCCTGCCTCATTTTTTTGGTTAGCAGCCATCGGAGCTGTGTATAGTACTGGCCATTGCATTATTCATAAAACCACTTCTGATCTTGTTCGGAAGCAGGTTTTTTTAAAAAAGTGTATGTTTTTGATTTTTTTTATCACAGAGATAGAGAAAGTTTTGGACTGATTGTCCAAGAGGAACAGGAGACAATTTACAGGTAAGTAACAAGCAATGGTGAGGAGAGGAGATGTACAGGAAGAAGGAGATGCCTGGAAAGGAAGACGAAAATGTCAGGGGGCAGGTGGAGGTGAAGGGAAAGTTAAGGAGCAGGAAAGGTTATAGGGACTGTTTCAGGTGGCAGTTTGGAGGTGGGATCTCGTCCTCCCTTCCCCCCGCCACCCGCGCACTCAGCTCTGTGCCACTGCTGGCCACTCCAAGCCCCTCCCGCCTTGCAGGGGGTGCCATGACCAAGCGCGCGGGGAGGGGGTTGGGAGGTTGGGTGGGTTGGGGGCTACTCACATGTACTGTGAGACGGGGGCGTTGGAAATGGGGGGGGCTGAGAGGCGCAGGCTGCCACGACTGCCCCAGCTTGAACAGTGACTATAGGAGCCGGGCAGGGTGGGCCCGGCCCCCCCCGCGCGCACCATCGGCGGCCTACGTGCCTGGGGCGTGAAAGGGTCGTCGTCCTCCATGTCGTCGTAGTCCGAGTCCCTAGACAGGAATCCAAGGAGGAGGAGAAAGAGGAAGAGAAGCAGAGAGTAAGTGAGTGGTAATGTTAAGAGCAGCTACCTTGATTGATGCCAATAATAGGAATATTCCCCCCCCCCTTTTTTGGACACAGTACCTATTATTCTACATTATCCTGTCACTGGCCTGAATTTTTGGGAACAATAAAATCCTAAGGTCACTAGAGAAACCCAGACACTTGGGCTGTTTTGCATGATGACACCTCTTCTCCTAGCGTCATGCTTCTACGCTGCGTAAGTTGGTGGGCTTATTCTGTTTACGACTGGCACTGAACATACAACCGGTGCATTTGGGATAAATGCAGCCAGGATGCTATGGCAGTACTGTTCCTATCAAGAAACAGCAGTGCGCCATTACGGCTGGAACTGCACGCTGCAGATAACCCACAATAAGCTTTTTACTGCAGGTTATCTGCAGTCACCCTTCCTATCACACTCGTTTTCATGCAATGAAAACAGAGCTGCTGGCTGTCTCCACCTAGCACAAAGAATGCTAGCCGGCTAGCACTGGCCACTCAACAATGTTGTTTTTGCCCAGGGAATTAACTTCAGGGCAGGACTTGCTTGTCTGGGCGGGTGGCTAGATGGTGGCAGCCAGGGAGCATATGTTGGCAGCAGCAGTGGGAGAGGTCCTCAAAGATGCCCCTGCCACTGCCCCCCCCCGCGCGTCTATCCAGCTGTCTGCCAGAGAAGCCAGACAAGTAAGCCCTCGGGAAAAGGAAGGACTCTCTTGTTCTGCTGAGTCCTTACTGTACTTTTAAATGGTGCCTAAAGCACACTATATAGTATATAGGAACACAGCAAGACGTTTAAGGCAAAGAATGTGGCTTGTGTGGTTCCCTAGGCCCCATGAAGCCCTTCGCCTCTGTATAGAAACGAACAAAACATTTGAACTATTAAAATGTTTGTCTCCAATCCAAGAACCGTCCAGCTCTGTAAAGGTCCCTCAATGCATAAAAACCCAAACCTCAAACAAGAAGTGGCTCCCTCCCCCATCCGATTCTCAGGCTTATTGCAGTCTACTTGAGGTGTTTGGGGGCAAATTAGGACACACACCCCCAGGCACTCTGAAGGTGCCAATCTTTGCTTTAAGGTTATCATTTGCCCTTACAAAGCTATGGTGGTGCTTGAGAAAATGCCATAATAGGACATTTGATGAAGCCTCCATTTGAGAGGATGTGAGCAGAATATGTATATAGCTTTCTTTTTGCAGCAAGAAATCACTCAACTGGACTATCCTGGTTGCATATTCTGGTTGTACTTGTCTGTTTTTCCTCTAGCTAATCATCCACAATTTAGAGCTAAGTCTGGACAAAAAAACCCGGCCAGAATTCAAGAAAGAGCACCCTGGCTCTTGTGTGTGAACCCAGCCAGTATAAGGGCTTCATACATTCAAGCTGTACAAAAGTGAGCAAGTTAAAAAAAAAAAAGCCACAAGAGATCAGCCTAGATAATATATATATAAATCTAAGTTTTTGTCATTAAGCAACTTGAGGCCAGTTACAAATTGTAACAAATGACATTTAAAATCCCATTAAATTACAGAAATTTATAAAATTTTGTGTAGGCATTTTGCAAATTGACCCGCTGGTTTATTTACTTCTGTAATGTCTTCTTCCCTGTAGCGGCACCTAGGTGAGAATTGGATGTGAGGTCATGGATGGATTTATTTATGAAATTACACGAAGTCTCATGCCCAAGAGCTCAAGATTTTGAGTATTGATACCACCTGTTCTGGAACCTCTTCCAGGCACGGGGCAGACTGCAGACAGCTGTGGTGAAGGAAAGGGCCGAGAAGAAGGAGAAGAGGAGAAGGAAGAGGACCCCTTCCATGCCATCGTAGCACAGCCCCTTCAGGGCATCCACATAGTCCTAGGAAAGAGGGGAAATGACACACTGAGATGCCTTTCTCCTGAACAGATGCTACATCCCTTCCAAGCAGCCTCTCCTGTTTTCCAGAGAGGTTGCACCTCATTCAAAAACACAGAAAGATTCACTGCCCTCAAACGGTAGGGGATGTGATCAAATTTCTTATTCTTGGTGGTTTTCCAAGTCTTGTAGTGGCAAGGATCCTTGACCAGACTCCCTCGACGACAGCAAGATTTCCCGGCTTCCCTCGTTGACACACTTTTAAACCTTTTTTGTATGTCTATTCCGTGCGGGAAGCAGCCAAATCTTGCCCAGCATGAAAAATGCCGTTCTGCACAGGAATTGTAAAAATCTTGCACCACTTGGGATTCGTTCCAGATAAAATGCCACGAGGCTTCTGAGAAATTCCACAAAATGCCCTGGAAGATTACTTGTGGGGGAGAGGAATTCACACAGAAAAACCTTGCTACGAGGAGGAGAAAAGAACAGCCCCCAGCCCCCAGCTCCATTTCTCCCTGGCAATGAAGGGCTGCCAGAGTGAAATTCCTGTGATGAGGCAATCGTTAGCTCCCCGCTGAGAAAACATCAACCAACCATTATGAATTATTAATGGACCATAATTTATTTTGACTATTATCAAAATACTGTACACTTTAGAAGACATCTTGAGAGAGTTTTGGGCTGGCGTCATTACGCCATTGAATGGAAGTTTTTTATTTTGGCAGCTGAGAGTGAAAATAAACAGGTAGGCTATAATGGACAAATGTGAAATTTCTCTTACAATCGAGATGACAGCCAGAGTTGTTCTATATCATTCTAGGCAGTCTGAGTGGTACAAGATAATAAATTATGTTGACTGTGAAAGGGCTCTTAGATAATAAGGAATTGCCTTTCTTTCTGTTTATATGTTGCATTTGATTCAAGAGGGTATTGTCTATGTCTATATTTTATCTGATCTTTTCCTTCCAACTTACTGCGAGAAGGATACAAGTTTTGCCATTTATTATCACAACAAGTCTACAAAGGTTGACTAGACACTGAGTGGGCAAATCATCAACAAAATTCCTATAAATTAAATAATCAACAGAACTCAGATCTCCTTAATGTAACTCGACCGCTAGACCGCATGTTCTCCCTATGAGAGTGTTGGATGGCGATGACCATATCCATAAAAACACATTTTGTCTCTTAGTTACCCCAGAAGATCCCAAAGTCCTGTACAAACCAATCAGTCTCTCAGAACAGGGGCTTCCTGGAAAGTTGACACCTGCCAATCTCACCAGACGCTTAACATTATGTGTTTTACAAACATGTACTATAAAGGGAACCACACAGTGTCTCCTTGCCCCGCACAATCCACCTTCATATGAGTGATCATGCCACATCATATGAATGGTCATGCAGCTGGTTATATGAGTGATTTCGTAATCAGTGCTTGCCTGCTCATGCAAAGGAATTTCTGAAGGAGTAAAAACAAGATGTTCTTCTGTGTTTGCCCTTGCGCAGCAACTTAAACAAACTGGATTCTAACTGGATCTTACATATAATGTTACTAAATGAAATGACGAGACCTGCCACTGGATGTTGTCTGTCTGCCTCATGCACCTTACTGGTCCTAACTGCCACAGCAACTAGGGACAATGGGAGTTGTTGTCCAGCACAAATTGAGGGCTACCAGGCTAGGAAAGGCTATTGCAAGGGTTTGCAACTGATTCATTTTGCCTGCCTATATCAGAGGACGAAGAGAAACAACAGAGCCTATTCCATTGCTCTGAATACAACCAATTGCCACTTGGCTATGCCCATTCCCTTGTTTCTCTCCGGAACTGCTATCTGAGCCTGTCAATACAACAAGTGTAGGCAATGGTGGTTCTCCAGATTTTTTTCCCTCCTCCTCTTACAATTTCCATCTGCCCTGGAGAGCACAGCCAAAGGGGATGGCTTATAAGAGTTGTAAATCAAAGAACAATTGGGTAAATCAAAGAACAATTTTAAGAACTGGTTGGTTGTTTCCATCCCCAACATATATTTCCCTATAAATGCTTTAGACTGTGAAACTGGTGTCTTCTTTTATAGTCTCTATTGCGTGTTTAGATTTTTTTTTTTTAAAAAAGTATTGTACAGTATATCCAAACATTGCCAAGAGCACATTTCTGAGCTTAAGTCACAACTTAAGGAAACATAGTGAAAAAACAGGATCCTGGAGAAAAGCTGGAGGAAAAATAAAAGGCCAGAAAGGGAGAAACAGTTTAACAGAGAGACCCGAGTGGGTCTGTAGATCACCTATTTAGCAAGATGAACAGGAGTCAGGCTAGTACTTAATATTAGAGCGTCCTGGCAACAGTACCTTGTGAAGTCCCCGGCAGTTAAGCAGAGCGACAAGGTGGTGGAAATTGCTTTCCGTGGTGTTCAAAGTGCTTTGGATGGACAAGATGTTCTTCTGTAATGCACAAAGGGTGTGAGGAGAGAATCTAGTAGTCCTGGTTCATAATCCTTCCCCACCACTCCTCCTAATTTGCTAAATCCCTTTCCAATCTGGAAGGAGCACTAGTCTAGACATCAAATATCTGTCTTTCCCATCCACATTGTTGGGTGTCCCTACTCACCTCAGCTGCAGGGAAATGTGGGACAGCTTCTCTCTCCAATCCATACAGCTGAGAGTGTATGTTGGATAGAGCCCTTTGACACATGGTGAGCCTCTGTAGAGACAGTCGGAAAGATGACAAGAGAAACACAAACCAATTTTTATTAGAAAAGGTGCAAACAAGGAGCACACAAAAGCCTGATGACGAAAGTTACTGCTGTTTGTGCAGAGCCATCTGCAAATCACTTGCTTAATCTAGCAAAACATAAATGATGTTTGAAATATTTTATTTTAGTTTCCCATTTCCTATGGAACGGATTATCCTATTGTTCACTTCATCATAAGGTCCAAAGGGCAGAACAGTGCTTATTATCCAATACGATTGGGTCAAGTGCAGAAATTGGCAGTGGACAAAGAATTCAGAACACCAAGAATGCCAGTATTCATTTAAAACAGAAAAGACATGTGGTTTATTTTAACTCCTGTGGAGTTATGACCTGGAAAGTACTAGCAATATTTAAAGGAACTGTGGCTAAGCAAGTCACATAGGAGGGGCTCAATAGTGACAGTATTTTGAGGTCTTTACTGCAACTTCCTGTCTCAAAGACTGCCATCTTTGTCCTTTTAATGACATATAAAAGCAAAGTATATATATTAAAGCTCTTAGATGAAGTGTGGGCAACTGAGGCCTTCCACAAGTATTTGAGTTACAGTTCCCATAATCTTCCACATTGGCAAGGCATGGTGTTTAAAGCTGATGACAGCTGCAGGTAAAAGATCTTTGGGGATCCACAGTTGCCCACATGTGCTCTAGAATCTAGATCATCATCATTGTCGTCGTCATTGTCGTCGTCATCATCATCATCACCATCATGATCATGTGCTGTCAAGTCAATTCTGACTTGTGGCAATCCTTTTCAGGGCTTTGCGGGTAAAGAAGTGGTTTCCCATTCTTCTGGGAGCTCATCATCATTGTCGTCGTCATCGGCGGCGGCATCGTCATCGGCATCATCATCATCATCATCATCATCATCATCATCATCATCATCATGATGTGCTATCAAGTCAATTCTGACTTGTGGCAATCCTTTTCAGGGCTTTGCGGGTAAAGAAGTGGTTTCCCATTCTTCTGGGGGCATCTTGGGAACGTGCGCCTTGCTCTCTCTCCTTGCAGGAGGCACTATGGGGAAATCAAACTCCCAACCTCTGGCTCTGCAGCCAAATTCTTAAAATACTGAGCACCTTGCCCAAGTCCAAAAGGCTCTCTCTTCTTGCAGGAGGCACTATGGGGAAATCAAACTCCCAACCTCTGGCTCTGCAGCCAAATTCTTAAAACACTGAGCAATCTAGCCAGTTCTACTCTAGATAAAACTATTAATTTTCCAAACCAACACAAGTGGCAGATTCCACTTTGGCCTGGTGGAAAATTCGAACCTGGTAAAGAATTCAGGATACATCAGCATAGAATTCTCTCCCCAACGTAGAAATGTGAAATGTATTTTTTAAAAGAGGAAATAGTGAACACCTACCTGCTGGAAAGGGTTAAAGACATCTTGGCTGCAGGATAAGTAGTACTGCAAGATTTCTGCAGCGAAAGGAGGAAAAAGGAAAAAGAAATAATATCACAGGGGACTGTCTAAAACATCAGGCCTTGTTTCTCCCTCCTCCAGTCTTGAATTCATTTATCTCTAAATGGTGTTTTTAACAAGTTTGGAAAAATGGAACAACAACAACAAAAAGTAGCATCAGGAAAGTACAAATGGACCTTAAGCAGGTTTCAAAAGCATGCAGCGAAAGGAGGAAAAAGGAAAAAGAAATAATATCACAGGGGACTGTCTAAAACATCAGGCCTTGTTTCTCCCTCCTCCAGTCTTGAATTCATTTATCTCTAAATGGTGTTTTTAACAAGTTTGGAAAAATGGAACAACAACAACAAAAAGTAGCATCAGGAAAGTACAAATGGACCTTAAGCAGGTTTCAAAAGCACAGCACATTTATATTTTAAGAAGTTTGGGAAAACAAAACAACAACAAAAAAGAAAAATAGCACCAGGAAAGTCGAAATGGACCTTAAGCAGGTTTCAAAAGCACATTTACTAAGTACGCCATGACTTGTGTGAAATGGTTTTGGACGCACATTTCTTAACAGAGAAGAACCTAAAATTGTGGCCCTTTACAAGGAGACTCCATGAAATGCACGGCGTTGTTTTATGTTGCCACTGAGGCAATGAAACTGTGTTTGTCACACATTTTCAACAGAGACTCTTGTGCCTTTAAATAGCTGCATGACAGACAAGATGTTCAGCAGGCACAGCTTATCTCAGCATGGAGGGCTGACAGAGACAGGTTGCGAAAAGCAGAGATTGGAAAACATACTAGCCATGCTGGCTAGGGGCTTGTGAAGGCTGGACTCCCAAAAAGCTATTCTTCCCACTCTATCTGAATTTATTATCACCTAAAGTGCCTTGGTTGTTGATTTCATAACAACGGCTACGAAGAGGGAGATTTTTGTCAGGGCTGTGGCATGGGATATTTTTTAGCAGTGTACCATTTTTCTCTGTAACTATTCAGACTATAAAATAAAATAAACTCTTCTTGGCTCTTGCATGATGTCTACTTTGTCTGAAAGGCAAGGTTAATTTGGAGCTGATTTGGATTAAGAAGTATAATTTCTTAACTGTGTTACTTCCGATATATTGCAGGGGGTGAACAAGCCACCTTTTGGGTGGGAGGCTAGAATGGCCTCCATCTTGTTTCCCTCAGAAAGCCTATTCGGAGGTACAGTACTTTTTGAATGCAGGAAATTCAAAATGGCTAGCAGTGTCACTTGAAAAAAAGGGCACCTTCTTTGCCAATGGCAGGGGGTTGCCATTACCATGGATATCAGTTGAATATCTATAGAAAAATGCACACAGTTTTCCACAGTAGGCAGATAGTGCCTCCAGCGGCTCACTTCATTCAAGAGATGAAGTGCAATTTATTAAAGCTCCAAAGAGAGGGAAATGATTGGAGCAGGCTTGTTAAAAAATTAAGTCACAGCATGGAATCCCATGCTATTGATCTTTGAAACCAACTACAATGAAAGAAGAATTTTATTTTTCCTTTTTTTAAAGAAAAGAAAAAATGTCTTGCAATGCCAAATACCGCCCCCTCACAAACGCTTTATTCTGGGGTTGGGTTGTGTGTGGCTCTTGAGATGTTCTGGACTACAGTTCCCATCAGCCCTAGCCAGAACAGCCAAGGGTGAGATTTGATGGGAGTTGCAATCCTACAACATCTGGCGAGCCACGCATTTTGCATTCCAGCTTTATTTGGAAACACATCGAAAGGTTTAAGACGTGTTCCACTGTGGGGGGAAATTCCTATGCAGGCAGAAATCAACCCTACAGACAACATCCTCATAAGTCAGTCTGCTGAGCAGTCAATAAAATTAACAAACAAACAAACAAACAAAAGGCGGGGGAGAGAGAAAGACGCAGGATTCGTTATTCCACAAATCCATTGCTCCTTCAAGTTCCTGGATCAGTTTCACTATGTTTTTATTTAAATTACTCTTTCCCCGCAACTAGATCATGGATGCACCCAGAAGCTTGTTTTCCAGAATGAAACGCCTCCAGCGGCAGGGCAGGGGACTTATACTGGGATCAAAGCAGCGAAAGAAATCCCCTGTATGCACCACAGCTCTGATGTAAATTTTATACACATACAGAGAGAGGGAGAGGGAGAGCTATTAACAATAAGTGATTCCCTTAGTGTCACATCTTGTTTGGTTCCAACGCGCCCATCATTAAAGGCACAGAATCTCTCTCTCACAGGCCCACTGAGAAATATATTAAGCTGGGTGTGACCTGAGCAACATCCTGGATCTCTGTTCTTGCAAGTATGGCATGTCAGCTCTTTCTGCACGAACACTGAACTGGGATTACGTATATACATAAGGTCCACATGGATTTGAACCCAGCACTCCTAGGTAGGGTTGCTAAGTAACTGGGGGATGGGAAGAAGGCTTAGCCGGCATCTGTGCTCTGAATTCAGAATGAACTCCTCATCACTTGAAGATAAAACATGAGCACAATTTAATGGTATACACATTGAGCTGCAGCTATAGAAGCAGAATTACAGTTGCAACGGTGACAGCTGGCAACCCAATTCCCTAGGTACAAATCCAACATTCGTATTCTCTGGACCCGGTCTGCTCCAGTCCTACCTGGGCTGAGTCCAGTCCTGGCTTGAGTTGTGTTCATCACATAGCCATCTGGTTCAAAGCAGAAATCACTCAGTCCCTGAAGGGGGCAGGGGAGTGGAGAAACAAATGTCTCTTTTATTGCATTCAGTGCTTGTCGGCATAATCAAACCGTGTAGTTACAGAAGATGGAGGCTGGGCAGTAGCAGGCCACTCTGAGATCAGTGTCACAGTAGTGGATTCACAGCGTAAAAGGGCACAGCCATTACTTAGATGTCTAGGTTTTGAAGGTTATTCTGGGTTCAGATAGAACACTTAAAAAAAAAAGAATCTAATTTTGGAAGAGATTGCCAGACAATGCCTTTGCCAGTCCTACTTATGGAACGTATCTGAGGTAGAACCATACCTGTCTTTTCCTTGCTTTGGTCCTGTACCCCTAAGAGTTTTGCAAGTCAGGATGGGGGAAATGGAACAGGTGCCAAAAGGTCATACTGAAAGATGCTGATCTTTTAGGCTCATGGATGCTGCTACAACTATATTTGGGAAGAATATTTTGAGATTGGTAATGGTGTGAGTGGGTTATTTTTAACCAGTTCCACATGAGAGAGGGATAGGTTGGACAATGTTAGAAAAATCCCAGGCCTCAGAAGAACCTTGACTGATAGAGGGAGCTAAGGAACTGGAGAAAAGACGGCACAGACAAGAGGAAATTAAAATTGCACCCCATTCTAGAACACACTCTAAATTCCCACAAAACTCTTGACTATGGGGGAAGAGAAGCAGAGATGGCTAATAGCTATATTTCAGGGAAATTTGGCTTTCCTGCTTTTCTTGCTAAGTTTTACAGTGTAACCCCTGAAGTCTCTGGGTCATCACAATGAAAATACCATGTGTTCGATTCTGAAAACTAGAGCTTAGAGAGATTACAGTTTTTGGACTACAGTTCCAAGAATTCCCCAACCAGCATGACCCAGGAGGGACAATGGTAATGAGGGAGCCTGTAATTTTTCCAGGCTTGCTTAAAACAAATTCCTGGGCTGGAGATGTGCTCAAAAGGCACCTTATTCCTTAATGTTTAGAGCAGTGGTTCTTACCCTTGGGTTACTCAGGTGTTTTGAACTGCAACTCCCAGAAACCCCAGCCAGCACAGCTGGTGGTGAAGGCTTCTGGGAGTTGCAGTCCAAAAACACCTAAGTAACCCAAGGTTAAGAACCGCTGGTTTAGAGCCTAGGTTCCCAACCTTTGTTACTCAGATGTTTTTGAACTGCAACTCCCAGAAACCCCAGCCAGCACAGTTGGTGGTGAATACTGGTGGGCAGGCTAGTCTTAAAATCAATTACGTACGTAGTTGGTTATGTGCCATCAAGTAGGACTATTCTTATAGAGACCCTAGGAGGGCGTTCAAGGTAAGTGAGATATTTTAGGAGTTGTTTTACCAGCTTCTCTCCCCCAGTCAGTTTCCATGGCTGAGCCAGGATTCGAACCCTAGTCTCCAGAATCCTAGTCCATCAATCACTCTATCCATAACACCACTCTGGGTATCCGCAGAGTCAGGCTATTGAGTGGCAAATCACATTTGGGAGAAAGCGGAGGAAGGCATGACTGGAATGACAAGGGGCTTGGATGAGAAATGGATTGGGGCCATGGGAGTGCAGAAATGTGCTGGGCTAGTGGGAGAGAATTTTGTGTTCCAAAGGGTAGGGCATTGAAGAGAGAGGAATCTCTTTAAAAAGCCATGCCCACAGGGGACAGAATGGAGAATATTAATCAAGGCAGCCGGAAAGAACACAGAGCATTCCCCCGTTTTTCGCCACAGGGTATACGTAGTGCCTACTAATTAAAATCAACACTAAGGAAGAAGTGCGTATGTATATGTGTGTGGGAGAAAGAGAGAGCATTGATGGTGAGAGAATGTCCCTACTCTACCTTACTCCAACACATACACATTCCCTCTGGCAGGAAATGGCAGCAATTAAATTATTGTGCTTCACAGAACACCAGAAAGGGAGTGACTCCACAGCAAGGCCAGCTGGCCAACTACGTTGCCCATCAGTTCTCTGACTGATGTCCCTCGATGCCCACTTTTGAGTAGCCATGTCTGTACAAGTGGACCTCAATCCATCAAATCTTGCACTGAAATAAATCTGCTAAAGGTGCCACAATACTTTAATCCAGGTGTGTTGGACTATAAACTCCATCATTTCAAGGCAACATGACCGTGGTGATGGTGAGGTTCCAGATCAGCACCTTGGATTTACACAGTTAGCAGATCAAGATGTTGCAAAGTAAAATAATGGAATACGTAACAGTTGAGCCTGCACTACTAGGTCAATGAGGCATGAGTAGGGGGTGGTGAGAGAACACAAGAGTGATAATTGTTATGAGAACAGAGGTGTTATGAATGGGCCCTTATTTTAATCTCTGAAAGATTAGATATTAGATCATTGAACAGCAGGCCATGCCAGGATAAGATCTGCCTTGAATTATTCTGCTCTGGATTGTTGTACAGTTTGCTGGTGTTCTCAAATCAACCCCAACTGTCCATCAATCAACTTTCTATTCTCCATTCCTCCAAATTCAGCCTAATGCTTCATTACCTTCATTCTGCTGATGCTGCCTTTTCTTCCCACTGCCAATATCATCCAGAGGCCCTTACTTACCACAGCTGCTGCTGTTTCTAGCCCCATGGAGCCCCAGCTCAGGATGAGAACAAAAAAACTCATCACAGTCATTCTGTTGGCAGAGAAAAAGAAAGAAAGGGTCTTTTAAAAAGCTTGGTTGGCTAAATATGAAGGACCTTGGAATACAGAATGTATTCCTGAGGATATGTTGTCTTGCTACAGCATTTATTTGACTATTATCTTTCTCATCTAAAGGTTGCAAAACTTGGTAGTGTTGCCTTCTAGAGCTTTTAACCAAAAGGCAGGGCATGCATAACACGTTTTTCTATGTATCTGTACTGTATTTGAAATCAATAATAAACAGTATGTCATGCTTCAAGCAACCAAACAGATGACTGTCCATGCGGACAGCATCAGATGTTCTGTATAAAAATCAAATAGACTGTGTAACTGGTAGCAAAAGGTAGAGAAGATTTATTCTTTTTGCAAAAACAAGACCATGCCTAACATATGGAAAACAAAGCAATGGCCCACAGATTGGAAATGTTCAATATGCACTCCAATCCCAAAGAAAGGAGAGGTCAAAGATTTCAGTAACTATAGGGGCACTTCATTAATTTTGCATGGAACTGAAGTGATCCATAAGATCTTATCACATAAACATTTACCATATATAGAGTGAGAAATGCAAGATGTTCAAACTAGATTTTTTAAAAAAAGGCATTAGAGATCACATTGCAAATATATATTGGCTACTCTGGTGTACTGAAGAATTTTAGAAGAAAACTAGTCTGTGCTTTATAGATTATAGCAGAGATGTGTGCGCGCGTGCGTGCGTGCGTGCGTGCGTGCGTGTGCGTGCGTGCGATTGTGTGTGTGTGTAAAGAGGTATGGATTATTCTAAAGGAAACTGGTGTGCCCCAACATTAATTGTCCTGATGCATAAACCTGTATTCTGTTAAGATAAAATATTGTGAAACAGAATGTTTTCGCATTGGCAAAAATGTCAGATGAGGGTGCACTTTTCTCATCCTGTTTGTTCCATTTAGATACAGAATATGTCATATGCAAAGCAACATTAGATTCAGATAAAAGAAGAATGAAAGTTTGCAGAAGGTACATCAATAATTTAAGATATGCAGATTATACTTCAGATGAAAGAAGAATGAAAGTTTGCAGAAGACACATCAGCAGATTACATCATATTACTGCCAAAAAATAGCAGCAACTTGAAACAACTAGCAATACAGGTTAATGAAGAAAGTGCAAAAGCAGGATTACCATTCAATATTGAGAAGACAAAAATCATGACTACAGAAAAATTACATGACTGTAATGGTGACACATTGAAATTGTTAAGAATTTTGTACATCTCTGTTCAATTATCAATCCAAAATGAGACTGCAAGCAAGAAATCAGACGATTAAGACTCCAAAGTTAGTTGTGAAGAAATTAGAAGAGATCTCTAAGAGTAAAAATTTGTCACTGGAGTCCAATCCCTACATCTTCCACACTATGATGTCCCTGAATACTATGTATGGATGTGAAAAGGACAATGAAGAAAACTGAAAGAAAAGAAATGACTCATTTTCCATGGGAGGAGAGCTTTATAGATACCACGTTGCCAGCTGTGGTAATAAATGGGCTTTAGAGTTTATCAAGTCTGAACTCTCACTAGAAGCCACAATAACTAAATTGGGGCTGTTGAACTTTGGACATACTATGAGAAGACAAGGCTCACTTTGAAAAACAATGAGGCTAGGAAAAGCGGAAGGCAGTAGTAGGGCAAGAGAAAGAGAAAACATGAGACAGATTTGCTCAATATAGGAAGCCACAGCCCTTAGTTATCAAAGCTAGAGCAGGTCTATTAATGACAGGACAGTTTGAGTGTAACTAATCCATAGGGCCACCATTAGCTTGAAAAAAAAGATGAAATAATAACAAATAATTATCATAATTTAAAAAAGATTATCGCAAAACAGGATGGATAGTTCAAAACCCAGTAATACCATGGTTATTCTTTTGAAGTGGTAACATCTCTGCGTGATTCAGGGGAAACAAAACTTTTTTTATTCATGCCTGATTTGCTTGCACCTCTCCCTATTTTTCCTACTCCACATCTGTGCCTAACACAGCAAGAGTCCAGATGTGCCCACTAGATGGCGCACTCACACGATTACCAGCCACTTGATCTGCTTTGCCAGTCCCAGCAAGATGAAGAGACAGATGATGAGGTCCAACAGCAGCAGCAAAATGTAGGCCAGCCACCTGGGGGAGCGAGAGAACAAAGACGCCCCCTTGAGTATGGTTCTTCCACTCCTAAGCCATCCACCTTATTTCTGTTATCACCACAAGCGACTGTTGTGCAACTTCCTTGCTCTTAACATCAGATTCTCCTGCCTTCCCTCTTTCTTCAAGCAACTTTTATTTATGCCCATCTGGGTATCTCAGCGCTGGCTGGATAGCGAAGCGGTTTAGAGATCTAGCTGTGGACCCTCTTTCAAAACCCACCTGGTGGAGATTGTGGGAAATGTAGCTCAAAAGAACTGGGCATGTTTATCCTTGAGAAAAGAAGACTGGGGGGAGATATGATAGCACTTTTCAAATACACTTGAAAGGTAATCACACGGAGGAGCGTCAGGATCTGTTCTCAATCACCCCACAGTGCGCACAGAGGAGCGTCAGGATCTGTTCTCAGGACATGTAAAAATGGGATCAAGCTACAGAAAGCCAGATTTAGGCTAAACACTAGGAAAAACATCTTAACTGTTAGAGCAGTACAGCAAAGGAACCAATTAGCTTGGGAGGTGGTGGGCGTTCCAATGCTGGAGGAATTCAAGAGAAAATTGGACAATCGAGTGTCAGATTTGCTTTGATTTTGGATTTCTCCATTGAGCAGAGGGTTGGAGTCAATGGCCTTATAGACCCCTTCCAACTCAATTATTTTATGGTTCTATGAAAAAGGAACTTTCCCAAGTTCTGTTCTGTGTATCCACCATTGAGTTACACTACAACCCAATCCTTTCATTTTCCTTATCTTTTAACTGTAGTTGCCACCAACCTTATCTTTTTCTCCAACCCATATCCTTCCCCCCACCCCACCCCACAGCTCTCACCTGTAATCTTCCAGGTAACCAATCTGGTCTGCTAGGTTGCTGGGCCCTCCGCTTGCCTCTCCCCAGAAAGGAATGCCATCCAGTGTCTGTGCTACTGCCTCAGTTTGGCGGCGTGTATTCCTGACCACAGCTACCAGCTCTGTTCTCGGTGCAAGTGTCTCCTCCAGCTGAGTGAGGTCCCCCCGTACTGTGGCTGATAAGAGCTCCACTGTTTCTGAGACCTGCAAGGTAAGTTCGGGTGGGGGGGTCAAGAGAAGAGTCACAACCTGGTGTACAGAAGGAAAGCATGCCACATGCTATTGTGTAGCATGCAGAGCCCTGCACAGATTTCCACACCAGATGCACATGGCAAACACAAGACACTGAGTACCGTGTGCTCCTTTTCATAGGAGAGCAAACTGCCAAGCTTGTTTTCAAGAGCAGACCACGCCAATTCCAAATGGCTTTCTTCAAAATAGGGCTACTCCTGTAAGTTAATTGCTGTTTTATAAGCACTGCAGGGATGTACGGCCAGAGACGGAACCTGGAATCCATTAATTGAATTATGTAAATTGAGTCACTTGTTGAGACTTACTTATTTTTGCATAAGTATCTTTCTAATTCTTTCAGCAGAAGAGAACGGATCTCAAGAGATTTATTAGTGGTTATTAGCCACTTAGCCAAGGAATAACTTTTCATAGCCAGACAATGTATCCCTTTGATTAGCAAGTATAGGGAAAGAGATTGATTTTGGGTGTGACCACATGGGCATATCCTTGATAGATGGAAAGGCTTCTTTAAGGTAGCTCATTCTCGGCAAGACAGCTATTTCTGGTGTGATCAGACATACACATTTCTCACTGTCTGATCACATCCAAAGTCTGAATATATAAAATGCTAGCCTAGATGAGCTTTTGATCTCATCTTTTTCTTATGTTTTAAAAGAGTTATGCAGAAACCCCACCCCAGGGGAAAATGTTCTGCTCAGCTTTTCTAATTTCTGCCAGGTATTGCTACATATTTTCAAGCTTTTTTTCACCACAGTCATAAAGCGTTAAAAGGCTTTTCAAGGTATGGGAGGTGGGATGTTCCAGGAGTGGTTTACCATTGCCATCCCATAGTGAGTTCCCTCAAATGAACAGGAATTTGAACCCAAGTCTCTTAAGTCCTAGTCTGACATTCCATCCATTACACCAGTGCTCCCCAACCTGGGGGGCCTCCAGATGTTCTTAGACTTCAACTCCCAGAAATCCTGGCCAGCAGATGTGGTGGTGAAGGCTTCTGGGAGTTGTAGTCCAAGAACACCTGGAGGCCCAAGGTTGGGGATTGCATTACACCGGCTCTCTAATACACATGGATATCATGGTGATAATTATTATGAAATATTCCGTTTTTCTGTCAGCTCAGTACCACTGCAGCTAACGTACATATAACAAACCAGGTCGTAACCACACTCAAGGGACCAGCTGAGCATTTGCCCATGATATTTTACAGCACTGATTGTTAACAGAAAAATGTGTTATAAAGATTAAAAATCAATCAATCAAATAATGGCAAACAATCACAGACCCAGCTACTTGTCTTCTTCACCCTGTACAGCTGTGGGGGAATGTCTTGCATCACAGTTTCCATTCACACAAGGGGGGAAATAAAGTTCAACAGGTTTCACCAGGGCAGAACACTGGGGCTCAAGTTAGGTGAATGAGCAGGAGGGTCCCCAAATGCAGATGTGAAAATGTTCCACACTGTGAACGAATACATACAACGACCTAAAGGCACCACCATCTCCAACACCATTACGTCTTGTGTCTAAAATTACCACTGATGTGCCCACTGATACCTAGGCTCAGTTCACAGATAGGCTGACCTGGAAATGGGTTCTCTAGATGATAAAAACAACAGTAAATATGTGGGAAAGTGCTTTGTGCTAGATCAGACTGTTTGTCTGCTCAGATATTTGTTCCTAGCTGATGACTCATAAAGCAAAATGGGGAGGCGCTTTCGGGATGCGATATACAAGTCCATATTAGCCATATGGTGTAGGCCTACCATCTCACACCAGCCTGCTGGGGACATCTGCTTGAGCTCACTTATCAGTGTGACATGCCCCTTGGTGTATGTTGCATTGTGACTATGTCTTCCAATAGCACACCCAGTATTAGCACATGGTACACTGAATCTGTTCCTTTCACTAGCATTCATTGCATGCTAGCAATTGTAAAAACAAACCTCATCAACAATGAAAAACCTTAAATACAAGCCAAGTCCCTGTAGCCATGTGGCATCATGATGAATGGAGGGGTACAGGGCAAATCTCAACTGCATGCCGTCAAAAGCCATTAAACGTTGGTTGTCAGTGCGACATAAGAAGATAACATAATTTGCATAAAAAAACAAAACACCCCTCCCAAATTATTATGGCACCTTTAAGAGTGACAGATACATTGCAGTGGCCAAAATCCTGCTGCTTTGTGTAGTAAATCATTCTACAGTAGACTCATCAAATCAGTAGGGATTTGATGAATCAACTCTGTAGGTTTGTTGATTCAAATGAACATACTCTCACTGTGGCTTATTTTAACATAGTAAATTGCAGTTAGGAATAGGCTTTGAATCAGTGGAACTTCCAGAAGGGTTGACTCATTCAGTCCTTGATTCAATGAACATACATAAGAACATAAGAACATAAGAAGAGCCCTGCTGGATCAGGCCAAGGGCCCATCTAGTCCAGCTTCCTGTATCTCACAATGGCCCCACCAGATGCCTCTGGGAGCACACGAGACAACTAGATACCTATCTCCTAAATGAACCTATCCTAGTGCAATTTACTGAACTAAGCAACAGGATTTTGGTGACTATGTGCTTCCTTGGATTGCAATCCAGTTCCTCTGACTTCATACTGAAACAGGCTAACATGCTACTTCCTTAGAAATACACACTGCCTACTTTTGCACCATTTTGAAACGGCAACAAAGTCTTGGCACATTAACATTCCTTTAAAATAAATGGAAAGCAATGATTAAGGATTGATAAATACTGGCAGCTATAGCACATGATGCTACTACATACTGTAGTTCACTGGTTCTCATACATGTAATACTGTAAGACACAGAAGACATCTGTGTGGGATACGGATCACCCTCAGTTGCCATGTCCTCCTACAGGTATAATGTGTTATCTCCTATTTACCTTATATGATCTTTTGATATGATAGCAGTAACTATGGTCACTCAAGATTTCTGCTAATTATCCTTGCCCTACCTGCCAATTTATTGAAAATGAAAAATACAGTAACAGAATGTCTGTAAATATATAAATGTCCTTATTAGGAAAAACAACCCCAACCCAAACAAACAAACAGAACCCACCCAGCCTGTTTGCTTCCATCACAGTGGGACTTGGGTTCTTTGGTAGAGTGATTGATGAAACATGAGATACCAACCACTGACACAGGTAGTAATAGGTTCTGAAAATTGCATCATGGTATTATGATTAACTCACCTGCAATATATTCCCCAATCACATGTTGGACTCATCCTGAATACATATACAGTGGTGCCTCACAAGACGAACGCCTCACGGGACAAAAAACTCGCAAGACGAATCGTTTTTGCGATCGCTGTGGTGCCTCACAAGACTTCTTCTTCTATGGCCATGCTTCATAAGACAATTTTTTAAAAAAAGAGAGACCAATGCCTCGCAAGACAAAAAAAATTCATTCATCTTGCGAGGTTCCCATAGGAATGCATTGCAATGCATTCCTATGGGAAACCGCTTTTCGCAAGATGAAAATTTCGCAAGACAGCGCTACTCGCGGAACGAGTTACATTCGTCTTGCGAGGCACCACTGTATAAGGAATGAAGAAGCATGCATTGAAAGCCACAACCGATCTTGCCAAGAGTTATTAGTAATTCAGCTATAGGACATTTTGGGATGTGTTACGGATGCAGTACATGTTCAGACATTCTTCTCTCAGAACACATATAAACAACTCAGAGGGGTTTCCCCATTCACTCAGCCACTCACCAGAGTATCAATGGAGCTTAGTGTGTGGTTGGCATTCAGCAGTGAGTATGTGACCTGGTATACACCATCGTTGGTCTCGCTGTTTCCATAGAAACCAATGCCAATCCCAGCACTAGAAGGGGACAAAAAAGAAAGAAAATGTCAGAATGCATATTTTACAAACCTTATGGCGGCGTACTCTGACTGTAGAGATGTATACACCTGCAGTTCTAATAACAATAATTATATTCCATCAGATTGATTCTGAAATATGGCAATCCTTTTCATGGTTTCCAAAGTGTACAGCACTTCAAAGTGGCTTACCATTCTCTTCTTTCTGGACCATGTCACTTGCCCAAGGCCACACAAACTGGCGCTTCTCCTGCATGGTTCTACTTTTGTTCTGTAAATGATTGGTTAGGTGGGCGATTCCTTGGAAGTATACTGTATGATGAGGGATTTCTTTACACTTGTGTCAGGCAAACCTGTATCTGGGCTATACTCCTTTAATCTGTAGCTAAGATTCATAATGTTCCTGCAATCTAAACATTTCCCATATTAAAAAAAAATTAGATGTTCATGCCAGAAAGAAGAATTCTGGTCTAGCTTTCACACTGACATGCCAGTTTTCTACATGGAGGGGTTGTATATATTGTATAGATGAGTATTCTGTCAAGCTAGCCTGAAGTCGCACGGCCCATACATATATTTAGTATCCTAGTCAGAGCTAGGGACATCCAGCGGTTTCACTACATCTGTATTTGGAAGCAAAGTGACACACATTTCCTTAATGCATTTATCTCTCCAATTTTATTGTTCAGCTTCCAATGTGATTTGCACTATCATCTGCCAGTGGCACTCCTCTGCTTTCTGCATAGGACAACCGCACACATTTTCTTGACATTATTTTATCTCAAATTGTTCATTTCTCCAAATGTTGCAACACAGCCTTTTGATTTAGAAAACCCCATCAAAATGCACATAAAATTCCACTGTATGATAAACATTCTTAATACAATAAATATTTTACAATAAAATGAATACACATTTAATATAGGTTGTATATACTAAGAAGACTTAGTCTTTATTTAGGCCACTTGAGATGCACTGGAACTTGTTCATGTAGCTAATTTCTGCTGTCTTCTTCAGGGGCTTCCCTTTGTAATCCCTCTTTTCTACAATAGCTACTCTGGGATCTAAAATATCAGGAGGTCAAAGTGCTCCGAAACAGTTTTCTCTGCATTGCTATCGCTGGTGTTAGATTTGTGTCCACTCATTCTGTTGCACAGGGATTGTCTTATTTGTCCTGTGTAGAAAGCAGAAGGGTGCTCATGGCAGAAGACAGCATGCATCGCATTAGAGAATGAAGAAATGAATCCATGACGTTGTGACTGACATTGATGGGACCCTTGATAGCTGGGGGGGAGCACATCTGGGATCTAGGTTTGTGACAGATAGAACCTCCCTTAGAAGAAGTGTCTTATGGTGCTGTTGTGCATGGTTGACCCTGTTGTTAGACAGAGTGAAGCAGCCACCTCAGGCGGCAGATGCTGGTAAGTGGCAGTGAAGTGTTGAGGGTCACAGTAATAAGTACACCTTCACCAGAGCTGAAATTAGATTCAGGTGCCAGTCTAGTTGGCACTTTCATTTTTTAATTTGATTTTTTTGTGGGTTTTTTTTTTGCATGTTTAACATAATAATATAAACTTAAATTACACTAATTGAAATTAGATTCAGGTGCCAGTCAAGTTGGCACTTTCATTTTTTAATTTGATATTTTTTTTGCATGTTTAACATAACAATATAAACTTAAATTACACTAAAAAGAAAAAAGAGAGTAAAATGAACGAACCAGAACCAAGAGAAGAAAACAAGACACACAGATGGACAAAAGGTCAGTACAATACAAAACAGTATGATAATATATACGTTCACAATAAATTATCTTATGCATTTACAAAGAGTCAGTGAAGGGTTTCCATATAGCTACACAGATATCCTCACAGAATTGCTTTATATATGATAGTTGTTCAAATGAGGCTAATTGTCTCAGATTTTCTGGCCATTGTGTGAAGGGTGGAGGATGATAATCGTTCCAGGCTTTTAATATAAGTCTTTTTGCCATCACGAGTGCTCTCAGAATCCAATTTCATTGACACTTTGTTAGACCCCATACAGTGGGAATATAATTTTTAAAAAATGTGACTATTATGAAAAATCAGGGATTTCCCCCAAACTACTAGTTGGCACTTTCATATGCAATAGGGCCATCTTGTTCTCCTCAGGCTCCAAAATGACTTGAGCCAGCATTGCTGCTTTATGAGAAAGAAATCTGGAGAAGAAACAGAACATGGGGTTTCTGTTTCTCCTCCTTACACTATCTCACACATACAAGATCTTTAAACAAAACTTGATGCTCTAAAGCAAAGATTGCAAATCTATTGTTTATCACACAGCCTTGTGAGCCAGAGAATTTTAGGGAAGGGTGGGATGGGAACCAAGATCCCTGACTTTTTTTTATCCATGGGGTCTGTAGATGGGATGGGATCAGAGCCAGAAACGCTCTCCTCCTCACCAGTGAGGTCTGTTATCCTCTTACCCCCTCAGTCTGGGAACTGCCTTCCATATAATGAAAAAGCTTGATTATCATGAGAATGTTGCTGCCTTTCCCTAGCCTTGTGTGGCTGTGAGAGGAGGAGGAACAGGAGAGAGAGAGGGAGGTGGTTGTCATAGAAATGAGATTTAGGGAGAAAAAGAAAAAAGTGGGCCTGGTGTGTGACTGAAAGAGGCAGCAAGAAAGGTGGGAGCAAAGACCTGTGGGAGAGTTGGGTGGATATGTGAATGGAGGGAGAGAGAAAGAAAAGGAGAATAGCTGGGGAGGGGGGTGGATGTGTGAAGGGAGAGCAGGTGGATCTGTGAAAACAGTGCTGGCTTCCAGATTTGGGGTCGGACACCCCCCAGTGGACAAGCTAACTGAGAATTCTCTCACAGATATACTGCCAACCTTTAGGTGGCCCATGCAAAATGGCAATTTATGGTCTAGTTGCCAGAAAAGCCCACTTGACAGCTTTGGGCCCTTGCTCTGGAGCTGTCCAGGAATAGATGGTGACTGAGTGCTGGACAGAGATTTTGGGGTGGTTATTTTCTGGTGACATTTGCTTGGGTGAGGTTAGTATTCATATAGTTCTAAAAGTCTGGTTCAAACTTAGGCATTTTGCTGCCTTACGATAAATGCCATGTCCCCTAGTCAAATTGCATAGTACTGAAAATCAGGCAAATTATTCTGGCATATCAATAGCCATAAAATACAAATTCAGTACTAAGAAATTAAATACATCATAATTGTCTGCCCTTTCAGGACACCCAGGGCTGCTAGTCACCTGGAAACATTTATTCCCCACTATGTATGCTTAGGGCAAATGCCTGTTCACAAGCATATGCCGGTAAAGTATTTAGATTCAGTGGTATTTAAGGATGCATGTATAAATAGGTGAGTAAAAGAACGGACAGAATGTGTGTAGGATGTATGTTTGTTCATCATGAGCTGATTGATAGCTGATCCTGTCTACAAAGCTGGGGAACTTGTATGAAACACTGCAAGCTCATGTGGAAATTGCTAAATATTAAAAAAAGAGATCTACTCATTCAAGAATACACATGAGTGAGTGGACTCTGAAAGCATGGTTCAGGTGGGTAAATATAGGGGGCGGGGGCAGAGAGGCAGGACTGATTGAAAGAAGGATGGTTGGTATTTTGGTCTCTCTTGAGTTAATCCCTGCACATTTTGGATGCAGCTGTTCCTGCATGCTTGTGTCATTACCAGAAAGACTATAATTACCCGCCCAGCATGCTTCATAATTACAGTTAAGAAGCAATCCAGGGGGTGGGTAGGCAAATCCTGGTTGTCGGGAGTCAACATGAAATAGAAGGGCCAATCCAAGATATATGGGGGGTGGGAGAGAGAGAGAGAGAAGGGTGGGTGGGATGTCCAGTCTCTCTTGTACACTGTTTTACACTCACTTGTTCCCTCTCTACACAAATCCGTTCCCAATCCCTCATACAGCTGCCATAAGGAGCTTAGATGTTTTCCTCTGGCTGCTGTTCCCCCAATTCATCTTCTCCAGTTTCCTTTCTTGCTCTCCCTCCTCATCTACACATCTTCTCATGTGATTCCATCTTCCAAATGTTCCCTCCAAAGAGCTCACAGGAGGATTTCTTCTTATGGCTGGCTTGTTGTTCCCTCCCCCTCCCCCCGTACAGCTATAAAGCAAATTTGAAGTGCTTGGGGATAAACAGCTCCACTACATGTGATCTCCCTGCTACCATCTCCATGTGCTTGTACGACTATCCATATCAGTCCACTACATGCTTCTGCTGGTCCTCACTCATCCGTAGCACAGAAAATGAATGGACCAGTAGAGCTGAGAGAAGCTGCATGTACAACTTGCAAAAAGAGGAAAGGGGTCTATTTTTAAATTGCCCTCTTTGGTCCTTGAAATGCCCTTCAAGGGTTGCATTTAAGCACAATGTTTTGTCTAGAAACAACACACTTTGCCTTCTAAGACAATATGCTACTTCTTCTGCCACTACCTCCCTCCTAATTCCTCACTCCATAGGACTAGCAGGGGCAGCAGGCAAAACATATGGCAGAGGATGAGGAACGCATAGTTTCTCTCTCTGTGAAGCTGAAAGGCAGTGGATAGAGTGCTCCATGAAAGACCATCAAGACCTGCATTCATATCCACTTTCAGACCTACAGTAAGCATGGTAGTACTTCCCATAACCCAGATGTTCTTGGACTACAGCTCTCAGAAGCCTTCACCACTCACTGTGCTGGTTGGAGTTTCTGGGAATTGCAGTCCTTGAACACTTGGGTTGTCCAAGGTTGAGAACCACTATATAGACCATGAGCCTGATGCCATTTCTCAGTCTATCCCCAGGACTGTTGTGAAGATAAAATGCAAAGGAGGAGAACTATGCTAACCCAGATATTCTTGGACTACAGCTCTCAGAAGCCTTCACCACTCGCTGTGCTGGTTGGAGTTTCTGGGAATTGCAGTCCTTGAACACTTGGGTTGTCCAAGGTTGAGAACCACTATATAGACCATGAGCCTGATGCCATTTCTCAGTCTA